GTAGCAAGTAATCACTGCTCACTGTTGCATGAAATTCATCTAGTTTGCCTCTAGAAAGCTTGAGATACTTTTGTTTTTAAAAATCACTGAACTCCAAGGCTAACTGTCATGGCCACTGGCGATCACTCACTCTGCCAGGTGTCCTGCTTAGACTTGTTCATCATTTAATTACATTTGGCTTAAGCTCCATTCTATCATTTTTAGCTGTTTATCCTGGCAATGCTACCTCCTTAATATCTCTTGTATACATCTCCTCCTCTAAACCCCATTGCCCTTGTCCTAGCTTTAGCCTTATCGCCTCTAGAGCACTGACTCTTAAAACAGACCAGATTCATCACACTCCAATTTGGTTCCAGCTTCAGAGTTTTTGCTTTAGTTGTTCCTTCTTGTCTGGAACATTTTGTCCCCAGATCTTCCTATGACTGGGCCCATCATTTCATTTAGGTCTCAGCTGAAATTTCACCTCCTCAGGAAGCCTTTTCTGACCTACCAAGCCAAAGGAGCCCCACCAGTCACTCTTCATTTGCCCTATTTTATTTTCTCCATAGCATCTGTTACCCTCTGAAATTATTTTTGTTATTCTTATGTGTTAACTATCAGTTCTCCTCCCTTACTAGCTCCATGAAAGCAAGGACTTTTGCCTACCTAGTTCACTATTCCATCTCCAGAGGCTTTCACAGTGCCCAGAACATAATAGGAGCTTCCAGGCTAGTCCCCTCCAATCTATCTTCTACAGCAGCCTTCATAGAGCTCTTCTTAATCTGCAAATCTGAACGTGTCAATCTTCTGACTAAAATCTTCACAGCTTCCTGCTGCCCCTGGGATAAATTCAGACTTCCTCAGCCCAGCATTCAAGGCTGTCTAGGAAGTGCAGATATGGACAATCCACAGCTAATTTCTGACTTCTCTCCCTTTCTCCCCAACTTGAACTCTCTAATTCAGATGTAGCGAACTACATATAGTTCCTGAAAACTACAGGCGTTTTAAAGACGACATGGTGTTTCCTTTACCTGGAGAGAACAGTGTGGCTTATGAGCAGCAATCTGGTTGAAAAGAGAGGTGCTAGGACTTGTCTTGCAGCTATATATGTACAGCAAACCCACTGGATTTACTCACTTGAGATGTTATTGATTTTAAAATTCATCTAAGTCTTCTCAGGATGATTTTTAAGAAATAGCTATACTGGGATATAATTCATGCACCATAAGAATCACGCATTATAAATGTACAATTCAAAGATTTTAGTAAATTTATAGGGTTGTGTAATCATCATGGCAATCCAGTTTTAGAATATTCCCATCATCTCTAAAAATTCCTTCTTGCCCATTTACAATTGATCTGAACTCCCACCTCCAGTCCTAGGCAATTATTGATCTGTTTTCTGTCTCAAAATCTTCCCTTTCTGCACATTATAAATGGCATCGTATAATATGCAATCTTTTGTATCTGGCTTCTTTCACTTATGTTTTTGAGGTTCTCCCATGTTATAGCATATATCAGTACTTCATTTCTTTTTATTGCTAAGTAGTATTTCAGTGTATGTATTATGCCACATTTTGTTCATTGATTCATCCATCAATGGACACTTGGGTTGCTTCCATCTTTTGGCTATTGTAAATAATTCTGTTATGAACATGTGTGTACAAATGTCTCTCTGAGACCCTACTTTCAATTCTTTTAGATACGTATACCCAGAAGTGGAATTGCTGGATCATATGGTAATTCTATTTTTAAATTTTTGTGGAACTACCATACTGTTTTTCATAGTGGCTGCATTATTTTACATTCCCACCAACAGTGCACAAGGGTTCCAACTTCTCCACATCCTTGCCAACAATTGCTATTTTCTGGTTTTTTCCCCTTTTGATAGTAGCCACCCTAATGGATCTAAAGTAGTATCTCATTGTGGTTTGGATTTGCATTTCCCTAATTATTAGTGATGTTGAGCATCTTTTCATGTGCTTTTGGTTATTCATATATCTTCTTTGGAGAAATGCCTATTAAAGTCTTTTGCCCATTTTTAAATTCGTTTGTTTGTTTTGAATTGTGGGGGTTTTTTTGTTTAACAAATATTTGAGGGATTTCCCATATTTCTTTCTGTTGTTGATTTCTAAGTTAATTTTATTTTGGTCAGAGCACATATCCTTTTATATTTACTGAGACTTGTTTGATGACCTACAAAATGGTCTGTCTTGAAGAATGTTCCATATGTACTTGAAAAGAATGTGCATTTTGCAATTATTTGGGATAGATAGATAGGTAGATAAGTATCTGGAAATCAGTAGATATAGATTGGTAGATAGCTATCTAGATATCTATCTATTTATATCAAACACATACACATATATGTATATATTCACCCTCCTCCTTTTTGCTATTATTTTCATATCTATTATATTTACATGTTATAAATTCAATAATATAATGTCATAGTTATTGCTTTAGTTAATCTTAAGATTTTTTGAGAAGTTAATAGAAGAAATAAGCAAAAATAATTTTAGAATCTTATATATTTACCTACATATTTATCAATTCTTCTTGTGGATTTGAGTTATCATCTGGTGTCATTCTTTTCGGCCGGAAGAACTTCCTTTAATATTTCTGGTAAAACTGGTTAGCTAGTCAAAAATTCTCAGTCTTTATTTATCTGTGAATGTCTTTATTTCACCATCGTTGTTTGATAATTCTAGTCTTAATCCAGTACTTTGAATGTGTCATTCTACTTCATTCTGACCTCCATTCTTTCTGACGAAAAGTCAGTTGTTAATATTGATTCTCTTCTTTCCATGATGTTTCCTTTTTTTGCTGCTTTCATGATTTTCTGTCTGTCTTTGGCCTTCAGAAGTTTGACTATGATGTATTTTTCTGTGGATCTCTTTGAATTTGTCTTACTTGATTTTCTTGAATCTATAGATTAATGCTTTACATCAAATTTGGGAAATTTTCATTATTTCTTCAAATATTTTTTTCTGCCACCTTCTCTCTCTCCTCTTCTTCTGGGACTCCTATTATACATGTCTTAGAATGCTTGATGTTGTCCCATGGGTTTCTGAGGATCTATTAATTATTTTTCAATCTATTATTCTCTCTGTTCTTCAAATTATATTTCTATTGATTTATCTTCAGGTTCAGATCCTTTCTTCCATCTTGAATTTGTTGTTGAATTCCTCTAGTGAATTTTTCATTATAGTTATTGTGCTCTTTAATGCCAGTTTCCATAGGATTCTTTTAAAAACTTTTGTAGCAATTCTGGATTATGATATTTTCTCCATGAAGATTGTTGTTGTTGCTTTTAAAAAAAATTTGCTTCTCTGTTTAGTGATTTGTCTCCCCTGTGGTATGCAGACAGAAATGTATCTATTTTATTTTTTTATAGACATTTTCAATCTAGTGGGTTTTTTCCCCTTTTTCTTTTTCCAAAAGCCCCCCAGTACATAGTTGTATATTCCAGTTGTAGGCCCTTCTGGTTGAGCTATGTGGGACACCACCTCAGCATGGCTTGATGAGTGGTACCATTTCCACGTCCAGGATCCAAACCAGTGAAACCCTGGGCCGCTGAAGTGGAGTGTGTTAACTTAACCACTCCACCACAGGGCCAGCCCCTCTGTTTTCTTTTTTAAATATTCCTATAAGCCTGGCTTCCTAATGGTTGCCCCTGTTTCTGCATAGCTTATTGGTCAGTCAATGATTGGAAAGAGGTTGTGCTGAATCATCTTGAGCCAGTAAGGCCTGCATACTTTGCCAATGGATCTGGGTGTGGGTAGAGGAGTGAATTCAGAGTTCAGCCTGTTTCCAAATCTGCTCCAGATTTTACTTTCTCTTTTGAGTCACCTATGTGTATGCACAGAGCCTCAGGGCTGGGCAGGAGGCCTGTGGCCTATTAGGCTCTGCCCAGGAATATGCTTACCCTAACCATGACCACAACCTCAGGATAGCAGAGCCTCAGCTGATAGGTTCTCACCCACTTACCCACTGTTAAGCAGTCTCTTCCACTGACAGTGCTGCTGATCATGAGTATCACTCACTGCTCCAAATCAAGTGAGCCACCTTTGACAGCAGTAAGGAAACTTCTGGGTACTTATGGCCTGCACCACCCTGGAAGAACTTCCTCACTCATCTAGCTGAGGGGTGAGGGTGGGAGCAGCCCCAGGCGAGAATGCCATAGAGTCCTGCTGTTCTTATTCCAAGTTCGGCAGTTTTAAAAAGTATGAACACTTCTTAGATTGTTGTGAGCCTTTGGATTCAAAGTGGTTGTTTTTATCAATTTTGTCTGCTTTGTGGTTTCTTTTTGAGAGGAGGATTTTCTGGTCTCCTCGTTGAACCGTAGCTGGAAGTCTCTCAGGATTATTTTTGTCACACTTTACATAAGATTGAGAAACTGCAGTTATCCATATCATTGTCATTCAGTATATTTGGAGTAGATGTGGAGAGGTTGATGAAGTTTATAGAGGGAAAGGCTAATATCCCCCAAAGCTATTCTTTAGTTCCCTCACTACTTGTATACACATAAATCCCTATTTTTTGTTTGTTTGCAATTGTCTGTGTTTATAACCACCTCTTCTCAGGTCTTAGGCCAGGTCTGAGTGCTCTCTCATCCCCAAGCTTGTCCAGCATAACCTGGCACAGAGAAGCTTTCTAAAGTCTTAGATAATTGAATCCTCCAGCTGGGGAAGACAGGTGAACACCCAATAGAAGGGTGACCCATTGACTTTACCCCCCACAGTGTGGATTGTCCCCAGAATGGCTTAGCTAGACAGGGTGAAAAACAGTCTTGAATAAGGAGTTGGGAAAAGAATGTTCTAGTTTTTTTCTGCCACTAACTTGTTGTGAGAGCCCAGGCAAAGTTTTTTTTTCCCTCTCTGGGCCCCAGCTACTCCATCTGAGAAATGACAGTATTGGAATGGGTAATTTTTAAAGTTCTTTCTACCTCTGACTTTCTGTGAGGAGTAATAATAACATCAGGTACCATTTATGTGTCAGACTTTGAGCTGGGCACTATAAATGTGTGTATATGTGCATGTAAATATATACATACATGCACATATATTCTTTTATTTCAATCTCATATCCCTGAAAAATAGGGTTGATTCTCTCCATTTTACAGAGCAAAGCCTGAGGCTTAGAGGGAGGAACCGACTGACTTGAGGTCACATAGCAGGGGAGAAGGAAATGATGTGTGCAATCACCTAACTCAAGTGAGTGACAGTGGAGGAGACCACTGCTGGATCTCATTCAGTTTGCACCATCTAGCCATTTGTACCATGTGTCTGTTTGCTGATGGCCCTAGAGTGGCCCTTAAGCTCTAGCCCTGGGACTTCGAGGTACCAGTGATGTTCAACCACCCTCTAGGCATCCTAAGGGTTTTCTGGCTCCAATGTGAACAGGTATTCAGACAGCCAGTGACCAGGTAAGGACCAGATAAGAAAGAGGAGAGTTAAGAGTGGAGACTAGATGCAATGTTCTCTTCTTCTTCTTTTCCTCTCTGAAGTCTACCCATCTTCAAAAGTCCAGACCAAGCCTCACTTCCTCTGGAAGCTCTCTCAGTCTTAAACCTTGTCCCAGAGTATTTGCTGATATTTTCCAAAGGGCCCCTGTGTGGTTGGAACACTCCAACCAGCCTGGGAGGAGGACAGGGAGACATCTCTCTCCCACCCCCTACATTTTCCTCCTAGTGTTGATAGCTGACTATACTCAGGAAATAGTTTTTGAGCATCTAGTTGAACAATAAGGACCTTCATTGTAAAAACCACGGATAGGGTAGCAATAAGCCAGGTATAGTGGATATTTACCACTATTCTTGGTTACCAATTCCTTTCCTGTCCTTGGCAATACCCTGCTTTATGAGGCAGAGCCCACCTGCCACAATAGAAGCTGAAAAGACCACTTACTCACTTTCCCAGCCTCCTTTGCAACTAGGGCTTGGACACATGACTAGACTCCACCAGTTAGAATAACTTATCCTAGACTTCTTATCAGAAGTTAATGCTCAAGGAAGCAGGGATTGCATGGAATTCATTCGGGTGATGGGTGAATGCAGCTGTAGCAGCTACATCTGGGTCCAGAGGCAATGGAAGGGTCAGTAGCTGAGAACTGCAAATGGTGGCATCTAGTTTCCAGTGGTGTCACAAGTAGTGTCTCCTCTGGGAAGATTCTGAAGTGGGATTCTGGGCATCAACCTGGCTATGTTGTCTCTGGATCTGGTTTTACAGCTCTCCCAGACTCTGTGAGCTATATAATACCTGTTTAACAAATTCCTTTCTATTTAAATCAGCCAGAGTTTATTTCTATTGCTTTCAGCTAAGACACATTGACGGTTTCGGTCCTGGCTCTGCCATTGACTTGCTTTGTCCTCCAAAGTAAATCATGTACACTCCTGGCTTCACTTTTATCCTCTGTTAATAGTAGCATTGCCATATTGTAGATTCAACTCAACTTATATAAAGGATAGAGGGGGTTGTGACTGTTATGACAGTGGTCATTTGCTACTATGAAGAAACAGCTACATGAAGATCACCTTCAGAACTCATCACTGTGTTGTCATTTTGTGCCATGGCTTCTAGGAAGCTCAAGGTTTTTGGATGCATTGCAGTAGTTTTATCTTGTGTGAGTCTTCTGGTACAATTACTACTCCATCATTACTGGGTACTTATTCTTTTGGCCTGGTTTACAGTGTTTACTGCAGCCAAGCCATTTATTCCAATGTAGTAACAGGCTCAGTGGTCTATCCAGCATACATTTCACCCCTCACCTAATATGTATCAGCCATGTACTCGAGTGGGGCTGACCCAACCCTTACATCCAAGAATGGGCCCAGATTTGGCCTAAGCCAGTTAGCACAACCCTATATCCAGGGACGCAATAATTGGTTCTAAAGTGGGCATGGACCCAAGTTAGAATGAAAGCTCAGGAGTTTTGCTCAGTTGTTGTTGCTGCTGGCAGTCACCCTGTGATTAGGAGAGCCAAGCTTAGGATACAGCAACTCTGTGGAAGGCAGAGTGGAGAGATAGAAAGAAGCTGGATGTCACTGTGTTGACGTCATTGACATCATTGAGCTGAACTGATTCAGTATTCATCTGAGACCCACCCTACTTCTGAATTTTTTTCAGTTGCATGAGCCAATGAATTCCCTTTATTAAGGCAGTTTGAGTTGGATTTTCTATTGCTTGCAAGCAAAATCATCCTAACAAAGAGATTTATGAAATATCAAGACGTTCGGAGAAAGAGGTGTGATTAATTAATGAATAAATGTTTTGGGAGGCCCACAGTCACCTTAAACTAATGTAGGCTCCCCATAAAAGCCTACTTCTTCTATGTCCCTCTATTCTAAGAAATGGCTCCATCATTCACCCAGTTGCCCAAGCTAGAAATAAACATAGAAGCCACGCTAGACTCCTTTCTCTCTCTCACCTCCAATCAAATCAGTCATCATAATTCCTCCCTCCTACCTCTTTATTATCTTTGAAATCTGCCCTTATATCTCCAACTCATTGCCACTGTACTAGTCCAAATACCACAGCCCACAAGAACCTCCATGATCTGGCTCCTGCCTCCCTCTCACATCTCATCTGATGTTCCTCTTCCCGCCTTGATCTCTCTGTTCCTGCTATGCTGAAGTGTTCCCTGCACATATTTAGTAGTTTCTTTTTTTCCTTATAGAAGGTAAGCTCTATGAGTACATAAACTATGTCCAGTTGTTTACTTATGAATTCCCAACACCTACCACAGTGGTTGGTATATACTAGGTGATCAATAATGTTAGTGGAATTAATGAATGAATAAAAGAATGAATCTTTCAGGCTTTGTTCAAGATAACCCCTCTGTACGCAATGTTCTTCCTTGCCGCTGCCTCCTTTTTGACTAATTATTCTTTCTACCTCTAGACTAGGCCTTGATATTGCCTCATCTGGAAACCTGTCCTGACCCCCAGTCTGGATTCCCTGAGCTCCTTGGGTTCCCACAGACCCCTAGGCTTACCTCTCTTCTAGCATTGTTCATATTGTGTCATTATTGTCTGCTGCAACATGTGTATCCTCAAGCAGCCTCAATGTTCCTGAAAGACAGGGCCTGGGTCACATTATCTGTTTTATTCCTACGGCCCAGCACAAGGTCCAGCACAGAGGAAGCCTGTGATAAAAAGTTTATTGAATGAATGAATGAAGAGTGTGAATGTGTGCCAAGGATGGAGCCTTTGTGTTTGTTCATTCCCACTTACTAACACCTCAACAAGGCCCGTTCTTCTCCCCTTTACTCTTTCTCCCATCCTATCAGACCAAGCTCCTCAAGGCTGGCTCCAAACACCTCCACCTCTTGCCACGGGCTGCACTAGTTCTTTTGGCCATAGGAGAAAGCTCACATTTCTCATCCACACTCCCTCACTCCACTTCACTTGTTTCCCCTTGCCATCCAGCTTCCTCTCTAGTCGGCACTCTCCTCACATAGAGCACTCTCGTGCTTACCGCTGTCTCAAGACTCAGGATGAGGCCCCTCTGTCCCCTATTCTTGCCTTTTCTCCTCTTTGCCGATGGTAAAGCACTCTGGTCCTGCAAGACCTAGCATCCAAAACACCTCAGATTCTTTGCGTTTCTTAGATTCTTTGTGTCTCATTGTCTGTATATTCTACTGTCCATATGTCCCATTGTTTGTGTATCCCAGTGTCTTTGTGTCCCAATGTCTGAGTGTCACAGTGTTTATGTCTATCCCAGTGATAGTGTGTCCAAGTGTCAATATACTTCAGCTCCTGTGTGTCCTAATGTCTTTATATCCTAGTGTCTTTGTGTTCCAGAGGTTGAGTGTCTCAGTGACTGTATGTCTTAGCTTTTCTCTATGCCCAAGTGTCTATGTGTCTTAGGGTCAGTGTTTGTATATCCCAATATGTGTATTTCCTGGTGTTGGTATTTCCTCCTATGTGTAGCTGACACTGTTTCTGTGTTCCAGTGTCTGTACATGTCCCAATGACTGTATTGAACAGTGTTAGTGTGTCTTAGTATGTGTCTATATCTCAGCGTCTTTGTTTCTTCAGTTTCAATATGTCCCAGTGGCTGTACATCTCAGTGTCTGTGTTTCCTAATGTCTGTGTGTTGCAGGGTCTGGGTATATGTGCTAATGACTGTTTATCCCAGTCTGTGTGCTCCATGGTCTGTGTGTCCTAGTGACTGTGTGTGTTACAATGTTTCTGTGTGTCCCACTGACCAAGTGTGCTTTTGTTTGTGCATCCCAATGTGTCCTTGTATATGCTAATGCCTATTTCCCAGTCTGTACATCTTATTGTCTGTATGTTCCAATGTTGTGTATTTCTTGATGTTTGTATATCTCAGTGTCTATGTGTCTTGATGTCTCTGTAAGTCCCAGTGTGTGTGTGTTTGTGTCTCAGTTTCTCTGTCCCTGTGCCTATGTAACCCAGTGTCTGTACATCTCAGTGTTTATGTGTCTTACTGTCTGTGTGTCCCCATGTCTGTATGTCCTAGTGTTTGTGCATCCCAATGCCTGTTTTTTCTAGTGTCTGTATGTCACATACTCTGTGAATGTCCCAGTGTTGGTGTGTCCCAATGTCTGTGTACCCCATATGTGTGCACCAGTATCTATGTGTTCCAGTGCCTGTATATCTCAGTGTCTGTGTGTCCTAGTGACTGTGCACCAGTATTTATGTGTCCCAGTGTCTGAGTGTCTCAATCGCTGTATGTCTCTGTGTCTCTGTATATCCAAGTGTCTGTGTGTCTTAATGTCTATGTGTCTCAGTGTTTATTTACCACAATGTCTGTGTATATCAACTTCTCTTTATCTCTGTAAATGAGTGCATTAGTGTCTGTACCCCCAGTGTCTGTGTGTCACAGTGTTAGCATGCTAGTTGTGTATCTCAGTCTCAGTATTTCTGTGTGCCTCAGCGTCTGTATCCAAGTCTGTGTGCCCTAGTTTTTTGTGCCAGTGTTTGTGTGTCTCAATATCTCTGAAAAGAGTGTCTGCATGTCTCAGTGTCAGTGTATCCCCATGTCTGTAAGTTCCTGTGTCTATGTATCCTAGTGTCTGTGCATGTCCCAATGACTATGTTCCAGGGTCTGTGTCAATGTCTGTATGTCCCAGTGTTTGTGTGTTCCAGTGACTGTGTTCCAGAGTAAGCGTGTTTTCAGTGTGTCTATATGTTTTGGTATTTTCTGTGCTTTTGTGTCTGCACCCTAATTTCTGTGTGTTTGAGTCTGCATATCCCAGTGTGTGTATGTTTCAGTGACTGCGTCCCTGTGTCAGCATGTTGTAGTGTGTCTAAGTTCCAAATGCTTCTGTGTGCCTTAGAAGTTATATCCCAGTGTCTGTATGTCCCAGTGTTTGTGTGTCCCAATATTTGTAGGTTTAAGTGTTTGCTACCAAAGTCTGTGTATCCCAGTGTCTGTATGTCCCAGTTTCAGAAGACCCCAGTGTTTGTGTATTCCAATATCTGTGTACTGCAACATCTGTATGTGTCAGTGTGTATGTGTCTCAGTGTCTGTATATCCCAGTGGTTATTTGTCTCAATGTCTGTGCACCCTGTTTCCCAGTGCCTGAGTGTCCCAGTGACTATATCCATAAGTGTCTCTGTACATCCAAGTGTCTATGTGTCTCAGGGGCTGTGTCCCAGTGTCTATACAGCCAAGTGTCTATGTGTCTCAATGTTTATCTATCCCAGTGTCTGTGAACCTCAGTGTCTATAAGTCCTAACTTCTGTCCCTACCTCTGACTGTGCACCAGAGTCTTTGTGTCAAAATGACTGTGTGTCACAGTATCTGTATATTTCCCAGTGTCTGTAGATCACAGCCTCTCTGTACTCTAATGCCTGGGTATCCCAATATCTGTTTATGTCCTAATGGCTGTATGTTCTAGTGTCTGTGAGTCTTGGTGTCTGTGTATATCCCAGTATGTTCCTCAGTTTCTATGTGTCCCAACATTTGTGTACCCAGTGGCCATTTGCATGTTGCATGTGTCTCTTAGTTTCGGTATACCTCAGTATCTGTAGCCCAGTATCTGTGTGTCACAATGTCTGTTTGACCCAGTGTCTGTATGGTCCAGTTCTGTATAGTCCTGTGTTTGTATGTGCCACTGTCTCTATAAACTTCAATAATTGTATGTCACAGGTTGTATCCCATTTTCTGTGTGTCCCAATGCCAGTGTACCTCAGTGTATGTATATTCCAGTATTTGCATGTTCCACTACTTGTGAGTCAAAGTGTGTGTGTGTCTCAGTGTTTTTCTGTCTTTGTGTCTGTGTGCCTCAATGTCTGTATCCTATTGTCTGTGTGTCCCAGGGTCAACATATCATTGTGTGTGTCTGAGTTTTAGTTTTTGTGTGCTTCAGTCTCTGTAACCCAGTCTCCTTGTGCCCCAGTGGTGTGTGTATCCCAGTGTGTGTGTGTGTGTGTGTGTGTACGTAGGTTCTATGTGTCCCTCTGTATCCCAGTGTCTGTGTAGTAGTGTGTGATCCCATTGTCTCTGTGTGCCAGTGTCCCTATGTATTCTGACGTCTGTTCTAGTGCCTATGTGTGTTAAGTGTTTGTATGTGTCAGTGTCTCCGTGTGTATTACTGGTTGCCTATGTTTCCCAATGGCTGTATGTATCTTAATATCTGTATGAGCAAGTTTCTGGCTATGTTTCAGTGTCTGCATATTTCAGTTTCCCAAAGTTTCTGTGTCCCAATGTCTCTGTGTTCTGGTGTCTGTGGTTTCCATTGGATAATGTGGTCAGTATCTGCATGTCCTTGGCCCCCTGTTAGTCTGTGAGTTTCTGTGTTCCATTCTTTATGCATCCCTGTGTTGTACATCCTATTAGTCTCTGTGTTTCAGCGTATGTATATCCCTATCTCTGGGTGTCCCTAAGTCTCTATCTGTATTCCCCTGCTTCTATGTCCTTGTTTTTCTGTGTCCCTGATCTGTGTGTTTGAGTGCCTGTGAATACTTGTCCTTGAATGTACTTGAATATTTACACATCCTGAGCCTTTGCAATCTGGAATCTGTGTCTCCCTCTCTCTGTGTTCCCATGGATCTCCATGTTTCAGCATCTGGGCATCCAATAAGCCTCTGTGTTCAAGTGTCTGTGCATCCCTTTTTCTGTGCATTGTTGAGACTTTGTGTGTTCCTCATTCTTTACATGTTCCTGAATCTTTGCATGTTCCTGAGTCTTTATGTGTCCTTGAGTCATTGTGCATCTCCGAGTCTGCATGTCCCTGAACCTTTAAAGGTCCCTGAGTCTTTGCATGTGATCTAGGGTCTGTTCATTTCTGCATCTGGGCGCCCATTAACTTCTGTGTTCCAGTGTCTGTGTGTTCCTATCTCTGTGTATCCCCAAGTCTTTGCATATCCCTGAACCTCTGTGATCTAATTTTTGTCCCAGATTCTCTGTGTTCCCTGGGTCTGAGTGTCTCTCTCTGAGCCTCTGTGTTTCAGTGTCTGTGCTCATGAATCTGCATACGCCTCCTTCCATGTGCCCTTTGTTGGTGAGCATTTGGTATTTATCCTACTTCTCTATTTTCCCCAGCTTTTACCAATGTCTCTATGTTATTGTTTCTTAATGTTGGTGTGGCTGTGTCATAAATTGTCCTGTGACTCAATAACTCCCTTTCTCAGTCCCTAGGTCTTTTTCTCTGGGTCCCCACGATGGCGGTGGGAGGGGGATGCTGCTTCTATGGGTCCGCTTGTCAGAGTGTCTCTCTGCATCTGTTTCTCTTTTTGTCTTCCTCTGTCCCTGGTTTTATTTTGATCTGACTCACCATTTCTGTGTCCCTGTCTCTCTGTTTGTGTCTGGTCTCTAGATCCATGTCTTTTTATTTTTGAGCCACTATCTCTGTGTCCCTGGGTCTGATTCACTGTCCCCATCCCTTCCTTTGTGGTCTTGGTTGCCTATTTGTGTGTCTCTATTTCTGGGTGTCCCCAGGTGTATCTTGATTCTGTGTTTTTTCATCCCTGCCTCTCTGGATATATTTCCTTGTGACCATGTCTCTTCCCATTTGCTTATGGCTGTGTGTCTGTTTCTATGTGTCTAGGTTTCTTTGTTCCTATCTTGATCCTTCCAGATGTGTCCCTGTGTTTCTGTCCCTATGTCTAGCCTGTATCTATATGACTGTATTTGTGGGTTCATATCCCTATGTCTACTTGTTTTAGGATCTCTGTCTCTGAATTCCTGTGTCCTTGTCACTGTGTCACAATGTCCCCATTACACCTGGGCCTCTACCTTGCTTGTCCTTATGTTTCTGTTACCTGACCTGACCCCTATCTCTTTGCTGGTGTTTGTCACCATTCAGGTGCCTGTATCCGCATGTCTTCATCACTGGATCTCTAAATATATAAGTCTGTGCTCCTGTGTCACTTTTAGTGTGTTCCTCCGCATGTGCCTGTGTCCTTGGGTCTTTGTCACCAAGTCTGGGTCTGTGTAACGTCTCTGTTTCTATATCCTTATAGGTGTCTGGTCCTGTGTCTTTGTGTTCTCCTCTCATCTCCCACTCAATGTCTGCAAGTCAGCATGTGAGTATGTCTCTGTGTTTCTAACTCTCTGTCCTTAGTGTCTTGGACTCTGGTCTTGACTAATATCTCCCTGGTTACCTCTGTGTCCCTGTGTCTCTGTGTGTCATTATGTGTCTTGACCCTTTTGCTCCTGTGTCTGAATCTTTGTGCATATCTATCTCTTAGTTTGTACGTTGTTATGTCTCAGTGTCTTCACATTAGTCATTGTGTGACTGTCTCTTGGTGACCTTGTTTTTGTCTCCTTGCCTCTTTGTGACAGAGACACTACCTTACAATGGGGATACAGAAGCCCAGCAAGAGAGCATCTGTTTCTCTGGGTGTATGTCCCTGATGCTGTCACTCTGGCTCCCTGAACCCATCTTTGTATGTCTACATGTCCCTACATCCATTTTCTTTGTTTTGAGATCCCTCTGCCTTGTGTTTTCATGTGTCTCTATTGCTCTATTTCCCCATCCACGTCTGTGTCCTTGTTGCTGTCTTTCTGTGTATGGTCCTGTATCTTTGGTTGTAAGTATGTATACATGTGTGTCTGCTGATGTTCCTTTTTTTGTTCATTCATTCAGCAAATATTTACTAAGCACCTACTATGTACCAGGTACTGGAGATACATAAATGATTCAGTAAAGGTCCTTGCCCTCAAAAAGCTCAATCTAAGCCAGAGATCCAGACAAATAAATAGATGACTACTACACAGTATGATACATTCTATGAGTTTGGATGGGGTGTGGTGGACTATAGGAACACAGAGGGAACTGAACTCAATCTAGGAGAAAGGTCAGGGAAGGCCTTCTAGAGGAAGTGACATGTAAGACTTGAAGGATGCATAAAATCTACCTACATGAAACCAAAAAAGGGCATCCCATGTAGAAGGAAAGGCCTAGCAGTGGTAGAGAGCATGGTTTGTTAGAGGAACTCCAAGACCCTTAAATATACCATGGGAGCCAGAGAAGGTTGTGAGTATGACTGGTGACTCAGTCAGTTTTTTGTTTTAAAAAAGTCACTTCTAAGGCTGGTATGGAGTATGTTGAAGAGAGTGGAGACTGGAGACAGGAAGGACTGTGAGGAGGCAGAAGTCCCTAAGCCTCTAGGTGGATAGGTCTGCATGTCTATGTGTCCTTGTATATATGTCACTTAGCACATGTGTGAGAGTGTGTATCCCTGTGTCGGTCTCCATGTCCTTAAGTCTTTGCTTCTGGCTCACTTCTTGCCCTGGCCTCTGGATCTCCCAAGCTCAGATCTCCTGGCTCTGAGGTTCAGGGACTATAACAGGACATAGGCAAGGTAAGGGTGGCCCAGCAGCTGCTGTACATGAGAGCACTTCACCAGCCAGCAGGAAGCCCAGCAGGGCAGCATCCCTGGTGAATCCTTCAGCAGCCTCTTGCCTAGAACCACAGGCACATCTGGGCCTTGGTGCCTCTGCAGACTTGGTCCTGTAGGCCCTGCCACCAACCGGATGTCTGTGTGCTGGAACTTCCCTGAGGGAGAAAGATTCAGTGCCAGTCAGAGTAGTGACCTGAGTCACCAATGAGTTCTCTGAGAAGATCCTAAAGCAGGAAACCTAGAAGAAAAAGTGGAAGAGAGGAGGGGCAGCAAAGACCTGGAGGAGGCGAGAGGCTGGACATTGTAGAAAATGTGGAGGAGCCAGATGGGACAGGAGTATAGTATGGAAGTAGAGAGCCAAAGTAGATGAGATGGCAGCAGAAGGGGGACATTCAGGCTTTGCTTGGAGGAGAAGACAGGGTAGATTTGAGGGAAGGAGAGGAGAGGAGTGGGTAGGCCCAGAGGAAGTAAAAATATCTGTCCAATCCACCATCACTGCCCAAACTCTTTGGTGTGGGCCTCTGCCTCAAGTTCTGCTAGTATCTCTTGACCTACAATCTGGCTTCCTGCAATCCCCCTTTATAGCAGCTTCCAGAGGGATCTTCATAATACCCATATATGACTGTGTCTTTCCCCTGCTTATAACCTTTCATGATTCCCCATTGTCTTTAGGATAAAGTCTAATTTCTCATCTTGGAATTCTACTCTGACCACTCCAGCTCCATCTCCTACAATCTCCATTCCTTTACTCTACACTTTTGCTCAGCCTTCTAGATTCAGTGTGGATCTCTCTCCTCCAGGAGATCTTTCTTGAATTTCAAGGCTGAGTGAGGTGTGCCATCCTGGGTTCCTCCAGCTCCCTGGGCTACTTTCTAGCACTGATAACTTCCTGTGATCACTATCCATGTCTGAGTCTATCCTCTCCCAAGACCAGGAACTCTCCAAGGGCAGAGATTGACTCTTATTCCTCTTTGTGGATTGGGGGGTTGAGGTGCTGGGAGTTCACTGGCCTTTCATCCTGGCAGGGTCTCTCTTGGACTGGTTCTCCCTGGCCCCTCTCATCCTCAGCAGCACTTACTCAAGCAGGCCACAGGCCGAGGGGTTGAGACCTGAGCCATTGACCACATAGAACCCCAGATGGGGTAGTTTCAGAGTGCTGGGGTGCCTGTAGTGGTGCCAGAGGACTAGGAGCTTGAGGTGGGGCCCAAGGTGGATGGTGAGGCAGGCTGCAGCAGCCACGTGGAGCTCCAACTGGGGCCTCCTCAGTAGGGCAGGCTGGTCCCAGGACAGGAGCGAGGTACACTTGCCTTGCACAGATATAGAACTGCAAGTGATGATCATAGTGTAGGCCTGGGGTTTGTCTGCAGTAACTGTGATGATCTGAAAGTAGGTATGGGTCTGGTCCTTGTGGCCTGGCCTTGGTGGTGCCCTAAGCAACTGTCCATGTACATGCAGCCCTGGAAGGAAGAAAGTGCATGCCTGGAGCACAGGCTTTCACATGGTTATTCACATGGTCACCCATAGCACTGACAGGGGTGAGGTCTCAGGGCTCAGGGTCCAGATGAAGTAGTGCAGGTTTGTGGTCAGAGAGCTAGCTCCTGAGGAAAGTGCTTCTACCACAGCCCATCCAGCTGCTCCTTCCTGTGCAGTGTGTGGGCATGTGTGTATGTGTGTGCGTGCTCACCCCAGTGGGGCTATTTGCATGTATGTGTTTGCCTCTGAGTGTGTAAATGTGTGTGTTTGATCATGTTCATATGAGTATCTCTGGGCATATCAGTGCATCTGCATATTTGGAGAAGTTGCTATGCTAGCATATTTTTTTATGTTTATATGTGTCTCTGGATATGTTGGTGTTATATGTCTTTTTTTTTTTCCTGCTTTATCTCCCCAAATCCCCCCGGTACATAGGTGTATATCTTAGTTGCAGGTCCTTCTAGTTGTGGCCTGTGGGATGCTGCCTCAACGTGGCCTGACGAGCAGTGCCATGTCTGCGCCCAGGATCCGAACTGGCAAAACCCTGGACTGCCACAGCGGAGCACGTGGACCCAACCACTGGGCTACGGGCCCAGCCCCTGTGTTATACATCTTGATGAATAGTTTATGTTGTGTGTGTCTGGTTGTGTGTTGGTACATATTGATGTGTATCTGGGGGTGTCAGTGTGCATGCATGTGAGTGTGTGTCACGGTGAGTATTTGTGTGCATCAGTGAGTTTTGTATGTCTAGACTAGCAGAGTATGTGTGCCCATGTGTGTTGAATTCTTGGATATTGGGGTGAATCTGGGGGTATCTGTGATGTGTGTCTGAGTGTGTTGATGTATGTGTCATTGTGTATATCTTGGCATATGTGGTGTGTCACTGTGTATCTGGGTGCATATTTGTATGTTACTGTGTGTGGGTGTGGAGAGTGTCAAAATATGTGTGCCTGGGTATGTCTTTGTGTGAGTTTACTATATGCTCTGGTGTGTGTGTGTGTCAATATCTGTGAGTGTCTTGGTGTTACAGTGTATTCATGTGTGTTTTCATGTGTCTGAGTGTGTACTTTTGTGTTAGTGAGGGCCACTGCTATATGTTTTTAAGTATCAGTCCACAAATGTCTGGGGGTGTTGACATGAATATATCCGGCTGTGGTGTTATGTGGGGTAGAGTCCTTGGACCTCTCACCTGCCTTCGGATCATCTATGAGCTGTAGCAGGTCCCCTGGATGCCCATCCACTGTGAAGCAGATCCTCTCTTCTGAGCGTGGCATGTGAATTACAAAGTGGGTGTCCCCATCCACTGCAAGGTAGGAGATGCAACTCTGAAGTTATGGCCCTAGAAGGCATGGGAGGGGAGAGGGGGAAGGGGAGAGAAGAGGACAGTAGGAGGCCATGTCTACTTCCCCAGAGAGAGAGCCCAGCCCCAGTGCCCATGCACAAGCTCTCCTACACTCAAACAGGAAAGTGAGGGTGGCTGTCTTACCTGAGGATGAGAAGGTGGAGACGTTTGGAAACCTGCCTACAAAGGAGAGTGTGTTAGTGACTGATCTATCATAGTTCTAAAACTCTGGGACCCACCCCCGGCCTCTGAGTCACCTCCTCCCAGATAAAGGCCAAATTCCTGAGCTTAGCATTTAAGTCTTTTCTCAAATCTATCCCCTGCCTAGCTCTCCAGTCTCCTCTTCATGCTCCAGCCTAACTGAACTGACTATTCTTATGAGTGCTCTGCCTTCTCTTGCTAATGACCCTTTTTTTTCTTCCACCTGGAATGTTTTCCTTTTCCTTAGCGACCAAAGATCAATTTCTAGTTATCTTTTGAGGCCAACTCTAATGCTTTTTTCTCTTGCTCTCTGCCTGTGGTAGTTAGAATTCTAAGATGGCTTTCATGATGCCCCAGTGTACACACCCTGTAAAATCCCCAGGACTGAGATATCACTCCCATAAATAGGTTATATTATGTGGTACAGTTGACATTAAAATAGGAAGATTATCCAAGTGGGCCTGATTTAATCACATGGGCCCTTTGAATCTGAGTCTAGAGGTCAGAGACAGAGAAGTCAGAGAGATTTTAAGTGTGAGAAGGATTTGACATGAAGGAGTTCTCCATAGCTGTCTTTGAAGATAGAATGAACCGGGTGGCAAGGAATGCAAAAAACCCCTTAGGACCTGAAAGTGGCCCAGATGCCCTCTAGAAGCTAGGAGTGACTGCCGGCCAATAGCCACCAAGGAAATAGGGATTTCAGTCCTACAAACAGAAAGAACTGAATTCTGCGAAAAACATGAATGAGCGTGGAAGAGGACAAGAACTCAGTCTTACAGACGCCTTGATTTCAGTCTTCTGAAACCCTGAGCAAAGAACCTAATTAACCTGTGCCTAGACTTCCGATCTCCAGAAATGTGAGAAAATTAATAGGTGTCGTTTTAAGCTATTAAGTTTGTGATAATTTGCTGTGCAGCAATGGAAAACTAATACATTGCCCCTCCTCTGTGCTCACACAACACCTATGAGAATTCTAATTGAATGGAAATAAAAACTTAGGGATCTTTGTCAGGGGAGCTCCTTGTTCACCATTTTGCTAGTCCAGTAGAGCTTTCCTGAGAGTCCATCCTACTTCCAGCTCCTCCCAGGATGTCTTTAGAATTGCCATCCCAATGTGGATTCCCCACCAAGCACAAAAGAAATAAGAAAAATCCTTCACACTCCCAGGGCAAAGATGCCCTGGCCCACCTTCCTTCTGACCAGGAGAGTTCTCTTTGGCTTCCCAATCTAACCTGCATATTTCCAAGACTGGGACCTTATGCTCTCTGCAGTATCTTAGTCTTTCAAGCTCAGTTATGTTCAAAGTTCTTCCTAATAGCATTTATGCACACATTCATTTGTTCATTCATTCATTCAGGTACTGTTTAAACATCAGGGATATGGTGGTGAAAATGGCAGTCGTGATTTCTGACCTGATGAAGCTTGTATTTCAGTCAGGGAGGCAGACATGAATGAAATCATAATTACCAATGGTGACAAATGCTATAAGAAAAAATAATAGAGTGACTGAGGGAGTTACAGATACTTGAGGTAGTCTGGGGCAGTGAGGGGGGAGGGTAGGAAGGACATCTGAGCTGAGATCTAAGTTATGAGCTGGAGTTTCAGTGGCAGTGGAAGAGATGAAGGTGGTAGGAAGAGGGCAGGGCAAGGCAGGTCAGAGCAATTATCAAGCAGAGAGAATAGATTGACAGAGGTCCCTGAGTGGGGGTGGGTGTGGGGGAAGGGCCCATTGAAGAAACAGAGAGGAGACCACTGGGGCTAGAGTTCAGAGAGTGACTGGGAGAAGGTGAGGTCAGAGAGGTATGGGATAGTTGGTAGGCCATAAAGAGGACTTTGAACTTCATTCTAGGTATGATGGGAAATCCTTGAGGGTACTTAAGTAGGGAAAGGACATGAAGAGATCTATGTTTTTAAGTGATCCCTTTGGCTGCTGGGGGAGAATGGCCAAGAGAATCTCTTAAGAGAGGAAGCAGAGAGACCAGTGAGGAGGCTGGAACGGTTTTCTAGGTGAGACACAATGGTAGTATGCCCTAGGATAATAACAGTTGGGGTGGTGAGAAGTGAGTGCATTGGGCAAATATATTAGAGGTAACATTGTTAGGAATTGAAGATGGATGGGATATTGGGAGGGGAGGTGGTAAGGGAGAGGCGCATGTCCAGGATGTCATGCCCAAATGTGTATCCCTGTGACTTACTGCCACGGCCAACTGGTTCTAATCCTGCCCTATAAGGTCATTCCCAAAATGTCGCTCCTTTCAGGAAGGCGGAATAGTGGACTGGTGAACCACATTCAGTCTGGGACCAGATTATGTAGGTTCAAATCTCTTACTAGCTGTGTGACATGGAACAAGTTACTTCTCTGTGCTTCAGTTTCCTCATGTATAAAATGCAGATATTAACAGTTTCTTGAATGGATTAAATGAAGAACTACAACTACAATATATAGAGAAGTTCCTGCACATAGGAAGAGCTGAAAACTGTTTACTGTTGTTATTTCAGTCTTTGGGAAATTTAAAGATAACTGTCATCATCTTCCCTAATTTTTATACTCCTCTCATTAAGTAGGGCTGTTCACAGAGCACAAAAGAATCAAGCAGACTTGCCTTGCCAAGTGATGCTCCCATTTATAACCCCACATCTTCCCCCTGTTTGGGAAGCATGAGTAATTCTCTTGTCCAACAAAGCGAATGTCAAAGCCACAGCTTGGCCGGTTTGTATCTGTTCAGCCTTCCCAGTCTTAACATTCCTCCCCTCCAAGGGTCTCTAATTCTGTGCCTATGTACTGAAGTCCGGAGAAGTCAAGTAGCTGGTTTAAAGTCTCAAAGCAGGTAAGCAAGCAGCTGTACTATCACTAGAATCTGCACAAGTCTTGTACATGCCCAGTTCCTGGTGCTCTCCATTCATACCTCCCCATCGTGGCTTAACCTCTTGCCCATGGCACTCACCATCTTTGTCAGGAGTGAGGAAAATATAGAAAGCTGGTGGGTTCAAGGATTCCACAAACTTGGATTCCACCATTGACTCAGAGAGCAGCTCTAGCTCCTCAGGGAGAAGAAGCAGGCTGACTGCCTCAGGGAGGATGCTAGAAGTCAAGACTGGCAGGTTTGAGGGGCTGCCTTCTGGCATTGGGCTGGAGCTGTTGGGTAGGCCCATTGTTGGGACTCCTGACACAGATGGTCTCAGAATTTGCCTGGTGTTTTGGAGTTCTGGCAGCAGGTTATGCTGATGCCAGAGCCTTCCAGGGGGCAGGAGAGAGGGCAGAGTGGGGTGAAAGGGAGTAGGGAGGGGTTCTCTAAGAACAGAGGTGGTTATGGTACTGCTGAGACTTGTAGGACTTGAGACTGCTTGGGAATGTGCTTAGGCTCTGAGGAGGTAGGGGCCTGGATCTGGTAGGTCTAGTGGGTAATGGGGTTTTGGGTTTGTTGGGGATTGAGGTCCTAGGTTTGGAAAGTGATAAACTGAGGGAAGTTTGGTGAGGTGGGGCACTAGATTTAAGAGGTGACAGAATTTTAGAGGTCTTGGGTAAGAGGATCCCAGGTCTAGAGTGCGGCAGGTTATTTGGGCTCTTGGAAGGAGGAACTCTTGGTTTGGTGTGTGGTGGGTATTTGGGGATCTGAAGTGTGGAGACTTCAGGCCTGGGCTGTGGCAGCCTTTTGGGTGACTGTGATGTGAATACCCCAGGTTGGGGTGTGTTGGGGCATCCAGTTTAGATTGTGATGGAGCACCGTGTTTGCAGTGCAGTGGAGAAACATGTTTCATAATGCCAGCTTTGGGTTGGGATGGAGTGCCAGGATTCAGAGGTGGGACTTGTGTCTTAGAATTCATGGGTAATAGGGTACCAGGATTCTGGTGTGGTGATGTACTAGGCTTCAGAAGCAATAGAGCACTAGAATTTGAAGGCACAAGGGCAGCCAGTTTCATCCTGAGAGTTGGCTGAGCCAAGGTTCCAGAATCCTGTTGTGTTGAAATTTTGGGCTTTGACTGTGCTGGAGTGGATAGAGTACTACGGCTCTGACCCAGTGGCTCCAACTCCTTGGAACTAGGCATCTTCTTTGTAGAGGCAGGAGTAGTTGAGGATAAGTAGGACTTTGGTTTCACAAGACTTGATTTGGGAGAGAACTTAGCTGCCAAAGCTGGTCAGGCTGTGCCTGCCCCTAGGCCATGCCTGCTGGTGGATGAGGGCATGATGGTGCCTGGTCCACCTGTGGTGGGAGTCTGTCTCCTGGCCTTCTCACCAGCCTCCTTGGGCTGCACCGTGACCAGTGAAGTCAGAGGTGTGACAAAGTTGTATTCAAGTGACAGGTTGAGGACTTCGGCAGCCAACAGGTAAGTGGTGGCATCACAGGCTTGGAAGCGTGCCTCCAGCAGTTTTCCAATGGTGACCTATGCCCAGAGGTGGCAGATGAAGTGGGCTACATTGGGGACTGGCTCCCCTGGGAAAACAAAGGCCTTCTGGCTGCTGTTGGTGGCCACCTCACTGTGGCGGGACATGAGAAGCTGACCCCTGGGGCCATGGGTTGCCAGGTAGATGCCTAGTTTCTGCTCACCTGGTTGCACCTGTTCTGCCACCACCAGCTCTGAGCCACCAAAGTAGTTGGGGAAAAGGACCCAAGGGGAGGCCCCAACTAAGTCCCACAGGTAGTCCAGACGCACATCTGTCAGCAGAGGCATGAAGATCTCCTTGTAGAGGCCCTCCAGATGTAGGGCTGCATCAGTGTCCTTGTATATGTGCCAGGCTGCTCCCCAGTTCTCCAGGGACAGGTGACGTAGCAGTGGGAAGTCAGCATCATCCCAAAAAACCAAGCTGAAAAGATTCACCCTGTTGCCCAGTGCCTGAAGGATGTTGGAGAGGATCACACTGGGGGTCATCATGTCGGCTGTGGGCTCCCCATCCGTCAGGAAGATGATAAGAGAGATTCTCCCCACACTGGGGCCCCTCCCAGGCTCCTAGTTGCTAGGGTACAGCACTGAAGCAGCTGCCAGCAGAGCTGTGTTGATGTCGGTCCCTAATTGGGGAGTAGACTGTGAGACCATCTTTTCTAGTTACTTGTATCCCCATTGCAGACACACTGGGCATCTCACCAACCTCCCAGGCTCAGTCATATCTCCTCATCTTTGCTCAGACTATTTCCACTGCTCATCCTTCCCAACTCCCTTACCCCCACACAGAGATCTAACAGTGGGGCCCATATGTCCTTAGCTTTTAGCACTCCCTGTCTCAGACTGTGCTTTGCCAGTTTCCTGGGGGAAAGTCTCATTCTCTAGTCAGAATGGCAGCTCCCCAAAGATAGCACCCCACCTCCATGCTACAGGGGAAGAAAGGGCTGAGTTGACAAGAGGTGGTGGGTGGGGAAGATTTCAGTAATTGTCTGAGAGAGGATTGATCAAAAACCAGAATCAGGGCAGTAGCTTGCTCAAATAAATAAATATCTAGGAAACAGATCTTGGAAATAAATATCTGGATTATTGATTTTGAAAAACTCTTAACAAATTCTTCTGAGTATGTGCTTTAAAGAAGAGGAAACTCAGGCCCAAAGAGAAGTGTGACCAAAAATACATGGAGAATCAGCTGTGCTCTTTCCACTAGGAAAAGGAACACAGATGAAGGGACATATTTGTATAAAATGTAATAGTGATATTTCAGGCATTGTGATAAGTGAGGTGGATGGGGGAATGGAGGGAGCATTTCAAGAATTTCCCATATAACCACAGTCTGCTCATTTGGGTAGGTAGGTCTGACACTTACAGCCACCAGCTTCCATGTGGCCCAGGTAGTCCTTGGCATCATAAACATTCTGGATGGTGGCCTGGATGGAGCATCCAGCTTTCCAGACACTAACTGTGTCAGAAAAGGAGATGATGTTGAAGTAGTCATTGGCCTGCAGGTCACCAAGGATCACATTCATGGCCTTTTTAGTCTGTGGGATTTGGAAGAAGTGAAGGAGATGGACCAAGACTTGAGGTCTTGTTGAAGACTGAAAGGCTCTTTGTATATAGGGGACTAAAGTCTAAGCATTATATGATTTTAAGACTCTCTGACTCCAGCACTCTATAAGTCTAGGATTCTCAAATCAAAATGCTCTAGAGGCTCTATGACCCAAAGCCTAGAACTGCATTTGTCCAATGGGAGCTGCTAACTATAGCTATTTAAATATTAATGTAAGTTAGTTAAAATTTTAAAATTCTGTTTCTTCACTTGCAGTAGCCACATTTCAAGTGTACGATAACCACATGTGGCCAGTGGCTACTGTATTGGAGACCTCAGAATTTTAGAACCTTTCCATCATCAAGAAAGTTCTCTTGGACAGTAGTGGTTTAGAAGGTTCAAGCTCTATGCTTTCAGAGCAGTAGGTTCTATGTGTTCCGTGGTTCCTGGAACCCATCACTCAGGATTCAATGATTCCAAAGCTCTAAAGTTTAAGAGCTTTATGATTCCGGATCTTTATAGCTGCCTTTCAATGACTTTGCATGCATTGGTTCTGTTCTGTCTAATCTGTTCTACTCACCGTACGTTTCTTGCAGGCTGGTCTTGTTACAAGCCCCCAGATAACCCAGATTCCATTTCGTCTCCACAACTTTACTCTTATTGTGTCCTGTAGATAACAGACTTTCCTACTTCCTTTTTATTTGTTCATGTCTTCACTGTTCCTTCAGTTGCTCCTTCTCTGGGCAGACCCTCCTTCATTGCCTACTCTGACCCATGCCCTTTGCACCCACACATTCCCATTCCCAAGCTGTTCACTGACTGTCTTATGTAGAATATTTTCATTCTCCATCCAGGTATTGAGCTCTCTGAGAACAGAACTTAGAAAGCTTCTTCCTCTTGGCTCCCTGCTCCGTGACAATACTTAGCATAGGGCTAGACATGTAGGAGGTTCCAAGAATAGGGTATATAGGTTCTAGTATTAGAACATTATTTATAGGACACTTGCTATATTCCAGGCACTGTGCTAAATACTTTAGATGCATCGGCTCATTTAATCCTCACAGCAACACAATGAAGAAGGTACTGATATTGTCCCCATTTTGCAGGTGATGACACTGAGGCTCAGACAGGCGGAATGACTTGTTCAAGGTCACACAGCTAGTCACTGATGGCTCAGGGACTGAAATCCATATTTTAGAGATATTAAATCCAGTTATTTTAAGCACAATATTATACTTTCAACCCTTTTTATAGGTATGAGTTCCAGAGACCACAGGAAGGGCACTTGTGGCCCACCTTTCTCTATATCTGAAACTGATAGAAAATGCTTCAAATGCTTCTAAGTGGATCAGAGTCTTTCCCGCCATAGGATGAACTCAGGGATAGGCCGCACATTCTAGGATAGGTAGCTAAGCACCATATTTTTGTTTTCATTGAGAGGGCTGAGACATAGAGGATGGCCTTTCCTGAGAAGCTCCTGTTAACCAGGGACAGATTAGGTTTTTAGAAGCATGTTGTTTAATCTCCTATTATTTTGAGATTTCCCAGCTATCTCTCTGTTATTGACTTCTAGTTTAATTCTGTTTGGTCTGAGAACATACTTTGTATGATTTACATTCTTTTAAATTTGTTAAGATGTGTTTTACGATCCACAATGTAGTCTATCTTGGCAAATGTTCCATGTGAGCTTGAGATGAATGCGTATTGTGCTGTTTTTGGATGAAGTATTGTGTAGATGTCAATTACATCCAATTGATTGATAGTGCTGTTCAGTTCAACTATGTCCTTATGGATTTTCTGCCTGCTAGATCTGTCTATTTCTGATAGAGGGGAATTGAAGCCTCTAACTATAATAGCGGAATCATCTATTTCTCCTTGCAGTTCTATCAGTTTTTGCCTCATGTATTTTGAGACTCTGTTGTTAGGTGAATACGCATTAAGGATTGTTATGTCTTCTTGGAGAATTGACCCCTTTATCATTATATAATGCACCTCTTTATCCTTGATAATTTACTTTCTCTGAAGTCTACTTTGTCTAAAATTAATATAGCTGTTCCAGCTTGCTTGCTTGCTTGCTTTCCTTCCTTCCTTCTTTCTTCTTAAGATTGGCACCTGAGCTAACATCTGTTGCCAATCTTCTTTTTATGGTTCTTTTTCTTATCCCCAAAGCCCCCTGGCACATAATTGTATATTTCAGTTGTGACTGCCCCTGGTTCTGCTGTGTAGGATGCTGCCTCAGCATGGCCTGATGAGCAGTGCTATGTCTGCGCCCAGGATCCAAACCAGTGAAACCCTGGGCTGCTGAAGCGGAGCCCGTGAACTTAACCACTCGGCCACGGGGCGGGCCCCTCCAGCTTTCTTTTGATTAGTGTTAGCATGGTATATTTTTTTTCCATCCCATTACTTTTAATCTGTGTCTTTATATTTAAAATGGGCTTCTTGTAGACAATATATACTTGGGTCTTGTTTATGTTTTGTTTTGTTTTAATCAACACTGACAGTTTCTGTTTTTCAGTCGGTGTATTTAGACCATTCATGGTTAAAGTGATTACTAATTTGCCATATTTAACTGTTTTCTATTTGTTGTCCTTTCTTTTTTTTTTATCTTCCACTCTTTTTCTGCCTTCTCTGGTTTCAGTTGAGTGTTTTATGTGATCTGATTTCCCTCGTCTCTTAGCATATCCATTTTGTTAAAAAAACTTTTCTTAGTGGTTGCCCTAGAGTTTGCAATATGCTTTTACAACTAATCCAAGCCCATTTTCAAATAACACTATACAGCTTCATGTGGAGTACAAATACCTTGTAACAGAATCTCCCAATTCCTCCCTGCTGTCCCTTATAACGTTGCTGTCATTAATTTCACTGATCGATAAGCTATAGTCACTGAATACATTGCTGCTATTACTATTTTGCACAAATTATTTGTTACATAAAGTAGTTAAAAAATAAAATATTTTATTTTACCTTCATTTATTCCTTCTCTAACACTGCTCGTTTCTTTATGTAGATCCAAGTATCTGAACTAACCATTTTCCTTCTCTCTGAAGAATTTCTTTTAACATTTACATGTGCAAGGCAAGTCTACTGACAAGTCCCTCAATTTTTGTTTGGCTAATAAGGTCTTTATTTCTCTTTCACTTTGGAAGGATAATTTTGCTATACAGAATTCTAGGCTGGTGGCTTTTTCCTTCAACACTCTAAAAATTTCACTCCACTCTCTTTTTGCTTGCGTTATTTCTTAAGAGAAGTCCCATGTAACTCATCTCTGTTCTTCTATAAGTAAGGTGTTATTTGCTACTGGATTTTTTTTCAGGATTTTCTGTCTTTGATTTTCTGTAGTTTGAATAGGATACGACTATGTGTAGATTTTTTTGGTATTTATCCTGCGTAGTGTTCTCTGAGCTACCTGTATCTGTGGTTTGGTGGGTGTCATTTATTTTGGAAAATTTGTATCCATTATTCCTTCAAATATTTCTTCTGTTACTTTCTCTTTCTTCTCCTTCTGGTATTCCCATTACACGTATGTTACACTTTTGTAATTGTACACAGTTCTTGGATACTCTCTTGTGGTTTTTTTTTTTCATTCCTTTGTTCTCTTTGCTTTTCAGTTTGGGAAGTTTCTATTGACATATCTTCAAGCTCATTCATCCTTTCTCTGCCCGTGTTTAGTGCCCTAATGAGCCCAAAAAAGCTATTCTTCATTCCTGTTGTAGTGTTTTATATTTCTTCCATTTCCTTTTGATTTTCTTAGTGTGTCCATCTTTGCTTACATTACCTATCTATGCTTGCACGTTGTTCACTTTTCCCATTAGAGCCTTTAGCATATGGTTATTTTAAATTCCTAGTCTGATAATTCCAATATCTATGCCATATAAGTCTTGTTCTGATGCTTGATTTATCTCTTCAGACTGTGATTTTTCCCTTTAGCATGCCTCGTAAATTTTTGTTGAAAGCCAGACATGGTGTATGAGGTAAAAGTAACTGAGGTAAGTAGGCTTTAGTGTGAGGTTTTATGTTTATCAGCCTAGGAGTTAGGTTGTGTTTGCTGGCTGCTGCAGTTGCAGGTGTCAGAAGTTAAATTTCTTCTAGGGTCCTTGTTTTTGTCTCCTCTATTGTCTTGGGTTTCCCTAGAGACTCTTTCTTAAACAGAGTCTAGGCTTCCAGTTCTTTCAGCTGTAACCTCCTGGTTAAACAGGAGGCCAGTTGATGTGGTGGTAATGTGTGGGGGGAGGGGAAGCATTCCTTAGATCTATAATTAGGTCTCAGTCTTTTAGGGTGCCTGTGCCCCTGGAATATGACCTTCACGAGTGCTCCCCAGCTTCTTTCTCACCTTAGATGAGATGGAAATGTTAGAAAAATTTGGAGTTGGATATATGCCTTCCCCTACACTGAAGGCTAGAGGGAGACAGTTTTCAATATTTCCCTTCCCCCAGTTAGGTTACACTCGGGTAAAACAAGTCAGTGAGCCTTAGGTTCCATGGGCTCTGTGGTTCAGAACTTCAAGGTAAAAAGGCTACACTGCCTAGAACACATGAACCTTACAATTCTAGAGCCCCAGAGTACTATGGTTTGAAAATGCTGCTTCCAGAACTTTACGATTCAGGCTCTAAAGTCAAAATCTCCTTGGTCTAAGACTCAAGACCTGTTTCAAGGGTGCTCTAGTAGAAGACCTACAAGATTTAAACCCAGATGGATCCAGGTCTCTATGGTTTCTAAGCACTCTAATGCTAGTGCACCATAGTTTTTTGGCTTTGAAGTAAAAACATAAAACATAAAAAACAAAAACCTGTGGCCTCTCAAAGTTTCAGAGTCTGAAACGACTAAGGTTTTATTTTTTTGACACAGCTTTTATGATACCAGAGTACTCTAGCTCAAAGGTTCTATGACTCTGGGCCCCTATGAGACCTGGAGTTTTGGGGCTGAGGGTCTCAATGGTTTCAGGCTCCATTATTCAATGTTTCAATGTTCCTAGGATTCTTCTTTTTTTTTTTTTTTTTTTAAGATTGGCACCTGAGCTAACAACTATTACCAATCTATTATGTTTTCTTTCTGTTTTTTTCTCCCCAAATCCCCCCAGTACATAGCTGTATATTTTAGTTGTGGGTCCTTCCAGTTGTGGCACGTGGGACACCACTACAACGTGGCCTGATGAGTGGTGCCATGTCCACACCCAGGATCCGAACCAGCGAAACCCTGGGCCGCCACAGCAGAGCGCCCAAACTTAACCACTCAGCCACGGGGCCGACCCCTTAATGTTCCAAGGACTCTGTGGCTCCAGGTCTACATGGCTCCTGACAACGAAGGTACCAGGACCCTAAGGTAGGCTCAGGCCTATAAGATCCAAGGGTGAGGGTCTCTGGCCCCAGGGAACCACTGTTTCAGCACTTTCTGCTTTCTGAGCCTTCTAGAAAAAGAGTTATGAAAGGTCCCAAAGGTCCTTGTTACCTGTTTCATCTTGATACCAAACATGGAGCCGCCCACGTCAATAACGAACACCACGTTTCTCTCGACAGGTGGGAGGCCTCTGGGAGCAAAGTAATGAATAAAATAGCCAGCGTAAATCTGTACAAAATGAAGTGAAACCAACAAGAACCGTGAAAGCCAGTCTAAATCAGACTCTCTTATTCTCCCTCATAACAGCCTGCTCTCTTCCTTCCTAGGCTTTATCACTGTTTCTAGTTAAACAGGCATTTGTGCAATTGTTTGTTCAACGTCCATCTCCTCCACCAGATCTGTATCTCTGCTGTTCAGGCTGTCAGCCCAGGGCCTGCCTCAGAGCTGTGGAGTGAATGAGACTGGCTGGTGGCCCAAGGCTCCAAGGATCAGGATCTCTGTCATACTTGAGTTCCTGTCCATGAGGGCTGGGCCTGCACAGTCTTGAGGGCCTCTGGGGACATTTTGCCTGGGCTCCAGGAACTGTAAGTATTGTTTTGACCTCCCTCTATAGAGTGAGCCTGGGGCCCAGCTCCACTGCTGCCAGGGGCTGGGAGTTTGCAGGGCCTCCCTCTCCTCCTTAAACCTCCTTTCTGCTGTTGCTGGGCAGAGCAGGGAGGGGAGGAGGGAGTAGAGGCTGACTGAGCTGTTTGTTCAGAGGGGATTGGTTAGACCAGGTGCAGATGCCTTGGGCCGTCCAGGATGTGATTGGCTGCTGACCCCCTTCCCCACTCCATCTCACCCTCTGCAGAGCCTGGGGGCTGGGACAGCTGAGGGAAGGGGAGGGGGAGCTGGGAGGGCCCCCAGGACCAGTGGCAGCTCAGCCTAGGGAAGTATGGGCTTGCTGAGGGTCTGTGCTGCCTAGTAGCCTGAAGCAGGCTCTGCCCTGCGATAACCAGCTTATTCTCCTCTCTGCCATTCAGGCCCTCTCTGATCACAAGGCTGCACACACTCTCTCTTCCTCTCTCGGTGGGGAGAGAAGGAGATGGGAGGGCATCTTTCTCTTCTTCTCGACCCCAGCCTGTGATTTAGTTCACAAGTGCAAGTGCAGCGTCAGTCTCCACTTCTCTCTGCGCATCTTACAGCATTTTCCCAAAGGGCCTGGGTCGAGCATCCTGCCACTGGCCAAAGCCAAAGGCAGAGTCCGGCTGCCGTCCTCTGTCCTCCCCACACCTGGGCAGGTGAGAGTTTCTGGGAACATCACATGCCTACCTCTCCATGGTCCCTCCCTCTCACCGGTGGCCCCAAACCTCATATCCTATAAGCCAGAGGCACGACCCAGGTCACCAACCTTCTCACACTCCCCTCAGCTGTCACGCCACCCCACTCTAGGAAATGTCTCTCTTCCTTCTTCATGGAGAAAATTAAGGGCCCCAGGCCCTGTTTCTTGGACTGCCCGCCCCACCCTTGCACAGGGTCCACATCCCCATATACCTCTTCCTCTACTTAAGGACAGCACAGTCCTGCCCTGGACTCCATGCGCTCCGAGCCTCCAGCACCTCCTCCACCAGTCAGGCCCCTTCTCTCCAACCCAGGCCACACTACCTACTGGGACTTCCTTAGAATATAAAAATGTTTGTGTCTTTTCCATCCACTAGGGCAGCCGCCATTGATCCCAAGCACACCCAAACTTCAAAACAGCTTCTCTCCTCCCTGTACCATGCCACAGTAATGAAATCGGCACCCGCAGTGGTCTTCTTACCTCCAGTTCACTCCTCCGCCCACCACAGACTGGCTCCCCCCGCCACCACGCACTGACCCTTCTCTCGCTAGAGGCAACAATGACCAGTTGGTTTCCAAACTGCATGGGTGTGTTTTGATTCTCACCGGACTGCACCTCCCTCGTGCATTTCACAGCTGGTGGTTGCTTCTGGTCCCCAGGAAATCTTTTCCCCTGGGATTCTGAGATGATGAACTCTCCTTATTCTCCTACCAGCTCTCTGGCCCACCTGATTCAGTTGCTTTTCTGGGTTCCATTTTCTCTCCCTGTCCTTTAAGCAGTGCTTCCCAATATTTTTCAGTCATGGCATGCAGAGAAAATGATCACGTTTTTGTAGCACAATGGAGGGAAGTGGTGGGGATTTAGAGCTCTGAGCAGGCTGTCGGCAGTTGGTGGGGCCAGACAGCCTGAAGGCTGAGGAGCTCCGGCTCCCGCACTGAGAAGCTCTGCCTTAGCAACTGCCATCCTGGATCTGTTCTTCTGGCTCTACACATTGGTCCTGGGTCACCTGCCTGGTTCTCTCGGTTTCAATCCATGGGTCTCCCCTGATGACTCCACATCTCTTTCTCCAGTGCAATGCTCTCCTCTCTTGGCCCTCCACAGCTGCATACCCACTCACTGTTGGACCTGTTCCCTTGGATGTCTGAAGATGCCTCCAACGTATCTTACCCAAACAAGAAATTCATTCTCTTCTCCCCACCCCCCATCCTGGCCTTGTGTGCCTGTGTCATTTAGAGGTACCATCATCCACGTGGCCACTCCAGATACAAACCTGAGTGTCACCCCTGAATCCTCCTGTGCACCTCACTCTCCACATCCAACCAGCCACAGATTCCTGCTGGTCTTAGCTGCTGGATATGTCTCAGGTCCATGTCCTCTCCACCCCAAACTAACAAAGCCCAAATTAGGGACTTCTTTCTCTCTAGTTTGCCTGCTTCTATTGCGGCCCCTCCTGTGCATGCATCTTTGCAGCAGCTGCTCAGTCTGGTCTTTCTAAACACTGACCTCATAACGTCATTCCCTCTCGGGGTTCCCCGGTCACTTTCAAGACAAAGTCCACGTTCCTTATCATGCCCCTGCAGCACTCACCGCCTTCAGACTCACCCCTCACCATTTCTTGTGCCTCAAATTAACGCTCTAGGAACTCCAACCCACTGGAAGCTCCCTAGACACCCAGGATATTTCCAGCCTCCATTCCTTGTATCATGCAGCCCCTAGTTTGCTAGAATACCTTTCCCTTCGCACAGCACCCCTCCCAGCTTGGTACGCTTCTTTGCGTTCTCTAACACCCAGGTCGGTCTTTACTTCCTCCAGGGAGTCTTCCCGAAGTTCCTTTCCCCTCGTGATGGCTTCCATCATCCTTTGTGCTGTCACTGAAAGAGCACTTCTCATCTCGTGTCATTATTGCCTCTTTCTGTTTCACCCGGAGATAGTGAATAAAGTCTGTGTGCGATTCACTTCGGGCTGCCCGACATCAGCCAGCACTGGGCACGACACAGATTAGGTGCCCGGGGAGTCCTGACTAAGTGAATGAAGGGGCAAATGTGCTGGGCTTTGAAAGGTGGGCGTACTCACGCAGGAATGGGAGGTGAATTGAGGGGTTCTGGGTGGGAGGACGCAGGAGGCAGGGCACACAGTGGATGGGATTATCGATCATGCTATTTAATGCCTCATTCCATCTGTTCTATCTGTATTTCCACTCCAGGCAAAGGTGGCATAGGTAAACAAACAATGGACAAGCAGACAACTACCTCAACTAACACACACGTGGCAGAACACTAGGTTAAGGCCCCTGCTGCCACCTGCTGGCAGGATACCCTCAGTTCCTATTCTGAGAGGGTGAATTACTTTTATTCCTCCTACGCAACAGGCTGTGCCATACCTCTCTGTCTCTGCACATGCTGTTCCCCCTCTCTCTGCATGCGTTTCCCTTCCCCCTCTTGGCCTAGGTGGAGGTAGAGTCTACTCATTTTTCCCATGCTAATTTAAAGGATGCTCCTTTAGGCGGGCTTTCCTGAACCCTTCCTCAGGGGATCCTCACGTAGCCCGTTACAGATTTGTACACAGCACTTAGAACTTTTTATGTCTGCTCGGCCTCCATGTATCTGACTCCTTCAGGACTGGGACATTCCAGAGGGAAATTAGGGGCTGTGTCCCACTCATTTCTGAGTTCTCAGAGTCAATGAGGACAGGAGCGGGCTAGAGTTACTCTGCTCGGTGGAGATGTGTCCATGAATGAATGAATGAGTAAGTGCACCGGGGGAGGTGTAATGAAAGCAGTGTACCAGCCCAGAGCAGAGAGAAGAATTGTCAGTGGAGTGGGATCACCAGGGTGGTGGCATTTGAACAAGGTCTTTAAGGACGAGGAGGACACTGACCAGTGAAGAAAGGAGGGAGAAGACATTCCCAGGGCAGCAGATAGTATGAACAAATGCTGAGACATGGATGAACGGCAGGTTTGGGTATTCGGGGAGAAAGGGGTGTGGTGTGATGTGGTGTGGGACAGCTGGAGGGTGGTTTGTGTGCTCGAGGTGGTGAGAGGTGTGGCGGGAAAGGCAGGCTGGGACCAGACATCTCAGGCTGCCGTGCAGTCACTGCCGTCAAGCCCAGGGTCTTGGACCAGTCCTCTACCCTCCTGGTACAGCGTGGGACCTCGCTATGTTCTCCATGAGTGTGTGAGCTCAGAGTTTAAGGGTTCTCTGTTTAGGCAGATGGCTCACTCAGGCAAAAAGAATTTCTAAAACTTAGAAACAGCAAAAAAGTCCAAGAGAACGTGAGAATATCAGAGCTGTCGAAAGTGTGAGAGACCAATTACTGGCCATCGGTTCACTTTCCAAAAGGACTGGTTAAGAGTGGGCTATGACCGGATTCAAGCAGGAACGGATTCATTTGGAGCTTGATTCAATTTACAGAGTTCCAGGTCTCTAACCCTTTGAGGGCGCACATGTGCCTCCCAAGGTGTGAAGTCATACGTCGTTACACGTCATCCTGTCCGGGTTCGCTAGTTCTCACTGATCCCTAGGAAGAACCAAATGAGCAACTTGGGGAGGCCAGATTATTGCCCAGGCCGGTCTGACTCCAGAGCCCGTGCTCTTTCCATTCCCCTAGCCCCCTCGCCTGCACATCTCCCGTGACGTCCTCCAGGACTACGTCATACTGGACTGTGAAGTCGGCCGTGATGCCTGAGCTGGAGAAGGCAGACTGGTCTTGCAGTGTCGGGTAGAAAGTGATTCGGACACGGATCTCTGCCCTCTCAGTCCTGGTGGATGGGGGCGAGTCAGCCTCACCCGTGTGGATGCGGAGGGTTAGGGTGGGGTGGCAAGGAGGATTCACCAGGCAGAAAGCCAGGTAAAGGGACCTCAAAGGGGGCAATATCTGGGGAGGGTGAGAAATAACCCCCACACCACCTGCTGCTCCTCCTGCCTACAATGCCCTTCCACTTGTGCAAACGCCACGCTCCTCCGGAAACCCTACAACCACCTCCTCATGCTCTGCCTCTTCCAGCAAGCCCAGCCTGGCAGACCCAGCCCTCCCCTCAGCTCCCAGGCTCTGGCAGTCTGCCCCTCACTCACGACCTCGCCCTGGCTCACTTGCCATCCGTCCTGGGGCCCAGTCTCTGGAGGAGCGTCACATTCCCAGGTCGACCAGGAGCCTGGGTCTCCTCCCAGAAAGGCCGTGTGGGGTGTGTTGTGGAGAGATCCAGACACACAGACAGGGCCTAGGTCTCCTCCCATGCCCCCTTACTGCTGTGGGAAACTGCAGTCTAGCAAGGTTCTCCTCTGGGATGGAATTTCATGTGTTCTCTTCCCCCGCTGCCTTCCGACTCTCAGAATCACGTGTGGGAATAGGCCTTTTAGCACCTCATGAAATCGCAGATGAATTTCTAGTCCCGGATGTTTGCTGAGCTGGCCACAAGATCAACTCCTCTGGAATTTCAGTCCAAGACAAATGTCCATTTAGACATGTCTCTGTGCCTCCTTTTTCCCAGAAAATGGAAACTTGGGAATTCTGCTCCCCTCCCCTTCCTGCTACAGCTGTCAGGAAGCTTAGGGGCAAACTGAGCCCCCATACTCTCTGAGGCGCCTGCTTCCATACGTTCCCTTGGCTTCCTTCCTTTCAGAGGTCTTTGTTCTGTTTTATCCCCACAGGATTGGCTGTACCCTCTGTTTTAACCTTTAAGGAGAAGGGGGAGGGAGCTGCCATTTATAGCTTAGGGCTTAAGCGTGCGGGCTCCAAGGACTCAGATGCTGCCTGAGGACAAGTTACCCACACTCTAAGCCTCAGTCTCCTCGTCTGTAGCACAGACATGATAATCGTTCCTATTTCATAGACAGTGTTTGTGTGGATTAAATGAGACCATTCATGTAAAGCATTTGGAGCCATACTTGGCTCTGTCCACTTAGTAAATGCTCGATCATGCTCATGATTACAGGTACCATCTAATCTTCATTACTCTCTACCACTGATTCACAGGGAGGAATTTTCTCAAATTCTCACAATGGTCCTGAGCCATGGATGGCATCTCCGCATTGTACAGATGGGAAAAGTGAAGCAGAGGATTGAGTGATTTGCCTGTGGTCCCACCTTAGGAGAAAGTCAAAGCTGGGATTTGAACCCAGATTGTGTGTCTATTTCTCTCCTCTACGTGCACCGCACTGTCTCTCTGGGCCAGCAGGGTCAAATTAGGCAGGACCTCCAAAGCGAAACAGTTTGGCGAGGGTGGCCACGTGACATGAGTGATTTCTCTGTGCCTGTCCACTCATCTCTCAGAGGAGGTGGGTAGGCCAGCTCAGTGGTTCTCCAATCTGGCTGGACATTGCCCTCTCCTGCAAACTGGTCAGAAACAGATTCTTGGGCGCCTCCCCAAGGTACCGAACCAGAAGACTCCAGAAGGGTCGGGTCCAGGAATCTACATTTCCAACAGTTCACATAGTGAGCCTGATGTGGCCACTCTGGCCTTCAAACACCTCTAGAAGAAAATTTGAAGCACGGCTGACAGACAGGACATCTCTCCGGCCTACAGGGCCTGAGATGGCATCCTCCAGGGCAGCCTGAACTTCACACTGTCCTCCCATTGCCCTTCCATTCTCAGTGGTGATTCCAGAGGAAAGCAAGATTTGGCCAGTGTGGCTTCTGAAACCTGCTGCATTCTCAACACATGATTTCATGGACGTCACCTAGTAATCCCTCCCCAAATCCTTATTTTTTCCTGAGGGAAATCATGACTCTGGGAAGTTATTGAACTGCTGGTTTCATACAGCTTGCCAGGATCAGACCAAGTTTGTAAACCAAATATCTTCAACTCCAAACATGTCCTCTTTCCATTGTTTGAATGGGGAATGATCTTGGCAGTGAGCACAGGGCAGAAGTAGTACCGGAGGGAAGCTCAGGGAAAACAGGTAGGTTTCCATTCAGGGAAGGTCAGTTTGATGGTTCACCCATAGTGCTGTCCACATACTGGTATGGATGTTGGTGTGCAGGCGACTGGTCCTCAAAGGTGGTTTGTGAACATAGCCAATGCCCATCCTTTCTGACAGTGTGACCTCTACACTCAGCCTTTTCATCAAGTGGCTAGGCCTCGGGCTCACCATCAGCTGATACTGACCCTGGTGCCTTTGTAGCAGCTCTTCATAGGCCAGGGAAAATTCTCACCTCTGTGCCTGCTGCTGGGCTGGTGGACATGTGGAACTTCTCGGATTCCGGGTCCCTGGGCATGAAAGGGAGGAGATTGGGAAGGGGATGGGATCTTTTAAAGGGGAGGGGAGCTGCTAGATTACCTAGTTCTTCCCACCCCGACCCTGGCCCCACCAGATCTGACCAGGTTTCTAGTTCAACTAAGTCTCTCGCCCGCAGTTAATCATCCACTCATCCACTCATTAATCTCTCTCTCTTCCTCTTTCACCTTCCTAAATGTTTTGCCTGAGAAACTCTATCACAGGCAGCTTACCCATAAAGAAACTCTGTTGGTGAAAATCTGAATCCAGAATAGAAAAATAAGTGGCTAATGATTTGTTTTACAAAAAGGGTTTTCAATTTATACACAATGCCTTTTCCCCTTCAAATAGCCCCTCACGCCCACCCCTCCCCCATGCTTTAGATTAACCTTGTTTATATGGCATTAATTCCTCAGCATGCAGTACCAAAACCTAAAGTTTATGTGCTTAATGACATTCTTGGAAGCTGGGAGAAAACATTGAAAGAAGACAATACATTTCTGCCAGCAGAATGGAACTCAGGTAGTAAAAAATATTTGATTTAGAAAAACCTCCCTTGAACATAACCTTACCAGAAGGTACCAATTCTCAAATAAGCCTCATCCTGCTAGGAGGAGGAAAGTGGAAATGGGGAAGTAAACTCCCATTTGTTGAACACCTACTCTCTTATATTCATTAACCACATCATCTTCATGTAATCTTATGAAGTGGAGATCATTGTCCCCACTTTACAGAGATAGGGACTGAGGCCCAGAGAAAACAATGTGTAAGCCCCTGATCACAGGGCTAAGATGAACTTGTTGTGTTTCAGACTGGATGGAGCCTTACATGATGCCTACATGAGCAGCTATCTTTCCCTGCTGATGGGCTTCCTTATAGATTTTCTTTGCCTGATGCTTCTCTTTGACTTCTGCAATGTAGACTTCATTGTTGATGGTCCTGATGGAACAGCAAAGAGGAAGGACAGAGACAGAGAAAAAGAAGATGGTCAGAGACAGAGAGAAAGAGACATACGAAGAAGGAGGAGGAGGATGGGAGATGGGGAGAAAGAGCAAAATAGTACCATAAAGCCAGAGTTAGAGAAGGAACAAGAGAAGAGAGGAGAGGTGAGGGAGATAAGACCAAGTGAAGCAGTTATCATTATCTCCATTTGTAAGATGGGAGATAGAGACCACACAGTTGGCATATGGTAGACCTGGTGTTAGGACTTTATGTTTCCCAAGTGTTGAATGAATTCCATGTTTTGGAATATAAAATAATTTTAGGTGGGACACAACTGAACGTTTTTATTATAATTGTTATGTTTAGTGAAAACATTACAGTAAGTAATGTGTATTAAAAATATAACTAGCACATTGAACCCATGAACTCACAGATATTGTTGCTTAGGATAAGACTAACTTAGGTAATCTTAAAAAGTGTACCTATTTAAAGAAACCATATTAAGTAAATAACATGGTGGGTGGTACAGGTGATAAAAATTGTGAAAGCAGAACGTAAAAGGCATCTGAGCTTGATTAGGTGGGGGCCGTGACCTCAGAGAGCTCAGAGACTTATGGGATGCTAATTCAGATTTGCTAACACCCATTTTTCCATTGCTCTAAGGAAGGTAATAAAAGGCAAAGGAGTTCAAAGAAGGGAGGGAGCACTTTTGCCCAAGTCTTCAGGAAAGGGTCCTAGAGGAGGTGGCTTTTGTGCTGGACCTGAAAGACAGGGAGGATTTGGATACATGATCCTCAGTGGCCATGCCTTCTCAGTCTCCTTCCCTTCCTGACTTCTAAATCTTTGAGACACTCCGAGGCTCTGTTTTCAACATCTCCTTCCTCTCCTCTTTGTAGTGACTCCCTAGGTGTGGTCATCTATCCCCATGGCTACAATATCATTTGTACACATATGATGCCCAAATCTGTATCTTCAATGTGAACTTGTCCCCTGAACTCCAGGTCTATATATCCAGTTGCTCACTTGACATTTCCACTAGAATGTCCAATAAGGGCACCTAAGGCTTAATATATCCCAAACTAAGTTCCTGGTATCTCCCCCACTTCTCCAATGTGCTCCTCCCCTAGTCGTCCTTATCTCAGGACATAGTTGTTCAGCTGAAAATCTTAAAGTCATGCTTGACTCCCTTCTTCCTCTCACACTCCACATTTAATCCATCTGGGAATTTTGGCTCTATCTTTAGATACATCCACCATCTGACTCCTTCTCACCACTCCCACAATTGCTACCCTGGTCCAAACTACCAACATTTCTTGTTCAGATAAATGCAGTAGCCTACTAACTTCCCTCTGTAAAGCCTTGCCTCCTTATTATCTGTTCTCTTCATAGAAGTCAGAGCAGTCATGTTAAATCCTAAGTCATGCTACGTCCCATTCTTGCTTAAAACTCTGTGGCTTCCATCTCAACTCAGAGTAAAAGCCAAAGTCCTTACCAGGGCCCCCATGGCCAGACACAGTCTGGCTCACTGTCACCTCTTTAACCCCATCTCCTACTCTTCCCACATTCATTCTGCTCCAGCCACACTGACCTCCTTGTTGTTTCTTGAATTTGTTCAGTGCACTCCTGTCTCAGAGCCTTTGCAATTGCTGTTCTCTTTTCCTGGAACACTCTTCCTCCAGATCTTTCAAGACTTATACCCCCTCTTCTTTCAGGTCTTTGCTCAAATGTCATTTCCTCAGAGAGATATACTTGATCACTCTAAAATAGCACCTGCCCACTCACTTTCTACCCCCCTTACTCTACTTTCTATTTTTTGGTAGCACTTCTTATACACAAACTGACATATGCTTCCTTGTTTGCTTTTTCCTTGCCTGTCGTCTCCAATGGACTGTGAGCTCCTTGAGGGCAGGGAGCTTTTCTGCCCTATTTGCTGCTATGTCCTCAGTGTCTGGACTATGGCCTGGCACACAGCAGACACTCAACAATTATGTGTGGAGTGTGCGTTCCAGACACACAGCAGGAAAACACAGAATGCATTTCAGGAAACTGCAAGTAGTTAGTTAGATTGGGCTGGAGCAGAGGGGCAGGGAAAGGAGGTATGGAGAGAAGCTTGGAGTGGTTGGGTAGAATAAAGGAGAATAAAGGGCTTTGAAGACCAGACTCAATGAGCTCATATGGCAGTGAAGACTTTTCCTATGGAGAATGGGGAGTCATGGAGAAATCTTGAAAAGTGCAGGGATGGGTCACAGCTGGCCTTTGAAGGGAGTGATAGCTCGGTGTCCCAGGGGACGTGAGTGCAACTCTGTAAGAGGCAGGAACAAGTCTCTATTTTACAAATTGAGAAACTGAGGCATAAATATTGGGGGAAGGGAGTTACTTGACCAAAGCAGCAGCTTCCAGGAACACTTGAGGATATGCAGCCTGCAAGAAGAGACCACTCAGGTGAGAAGTGTTTCTAGGCAGCTGAAACAGACTATTACTGTGGCTGGGCTAGTGTGGGGGTGGGCCGAGCTGGCACTGCCCCAAAATCTCCTAGGGGGTGTAGGGGTTTAGGGTGGAGCTGGTCTGGCAGCAGCACACTGGGGCCTCTGTGTGTGTGCTGCCTCCAGCCAGCATACTTTCCACAGAGTCTGCCCAAGAACATTTCCTCTAGCCTGCTTTGCTTAATTTTTAAAAAAAATTTCTTTTGGTGTTTTTTCTATTGAAATAAAAATCCAAATTCTGTCTGACTGCTTGGCCCTTGGATCATTTGACCAACAACCTCTCTGGTGAGCCCCTGTACTCCAAACCCATGCCTGCTCTTTTGCCTTTGGTCTCCCTGGGCTTCCCACATGAAGTGGGCCTGGCCCCTTCAAAACTTACCCATATGGAAATCCTGCTTCCAGAAAGCCCTCCTTGACTACCTCAGCACCTCTCCCCTGAACTCCTTGGCCAGGAGCACACCTCTTACCTCCTCTAGCCTTTCCTCTTTCCAGGGGAGTGCCATCTGCCCATCAAGGCCAGGAAGGGTTCTGATGACGAAGCCCAGGCTCTAGGACTGCTTTTCCAAGGCTTACAGGTTGTTTACAGCACAAGGCCCCACTCCAGTGAGGGGGTCTGAGCAAAGGCTGAAACTCTGCCTGTGCCATCCTCACTCATCTGCTGAATCTGAGTCCCTCTCCCCAAAGCCAGGGGTGTTTTTCTAACTCAGACTAAGGTGTTATATGGGTTAATGAGGCCCCCGCTAAGCTTTCCCTTATCTTCTCCTCCTCCCACGTTCACCATCTCAAAGAAGGCCTCTCATCCACCAGGTCAGACAAGCCATGATGGCATCCTCCATATGTACTTACTCCCCACATCCTTCTTTATAGTCTCTCAAATCCCACCGCCACTGGACTCCTCCAGCCCTCAGCATCCCTCATATGGATGCTGCCCCAAGTTCCTTACTGCTCTTCCTGCTTCCTGGCTGGCCCTTTCAGCCCACCCCCACTTCATTATTGTCACTCCTTGCTTAAAACCTTGCCATGTCTCTTTATTATGGCCACAGTTATTTCTAAAGTAGGATGTATTTTCTCCAGGGGGTGCTGGAGACAAATCCTGAAGAAGTGTGGAAAGAATATTAACACTGTAATTATAGGAGTTTTTTCCTCATCCTTTATTTATATTTTTGCATATGCTTCATAATGTACCTCATATACTTGTTCAGTAGTATATTTATATAATTTATAAATTAATAAATAGCCATATTTTGGGAGTACATGGTCAAGTTTTTCCTCCTGGGTGTGCAAACCCTTAAGATGATTTGGAGACCATCAAGTAAGGGCCAGGTTCGTGCCCTGGCATTGGCAGCCCTCTACTTCTCAGTCCTTCCCTATCTCTCCAGTCTCATTTCTGACCACTCTTCTACCCCTGCTTGTACTTTACACTCCAGTGACACTGAAGTACCTGCAGTTCCCCTAATGAGGGAACACTGGCTCCTGTACTCCTTTTGCCCAGATTCCCCAGCCCTGCCCTCATCCTGCTTGCCTGGTGAACATCTTATATTTCAGTTGCGGTGTCATCTCTGTGAGGTTTTCTCATGCTGACTAGGGGTGGGAACTGACCAATGTCTCCTGGTAGGCCTCACCATTCCCACCACCCCCTCCCCCCACACACTTCTCTTTCCTCCAAGCATACTTTTTAAAAATTATCTGTTTCTTTTTTTATGTCCCCCATTAGACTGTGATCTCTTTGGGAGCAGGGACCTTTGTGCGATTCATCTTCCTCTTTCTGTAGTACCAAGCACAGTGTAAGTCACACAGTCAGCATCAGGAAATGTTTCTTTAAAGAAATAATCAAGTTAACATTATCAAGGACTTACTATGTGCCAGACACTGATTTTAGCATATATCATCACATACATTAACTAATTTAATCCTTGCAGATGGGTTCTAATTTTATCCCCATTTTACAGATGTGTAAAATGAGACTGAGAAGTGAAGTGACTTGTCCTGAGTCCCATAACTGGCAGAGCCGGGTTTCAAACTCAAGAAGTCTGATCTCAGAGTGCATGTTCTTCAACACTATGTTCTGTTGAAAGAACGAGCAAAAGAATGAATGAATGTATGCACGCATGGATGAAGCCGTAAGTTTGGAAGCAGACCTACACAGTGAAATTGCGATAAAGGCAAGGCGAGGCAGATCCAGGTCAAAGACAGCTTCATGGGCCTCAGAATGTGGATTAAACAAGACAGAGGTGACCAAGGTGTGGGCATAGCGGGAAACCACAGTAGAACACTGTGAATAGTTTGTCATCAACAGCTGAGAGAAAACATAGGGAAGTGGGTTAGGTAGACTCTATCCTTCACTTAGATGGGCTAGTACTTGGGAACCCAGGACTCCTGGATAGGCCTCAGGCTACAGGTGGAGTAACTGAGGCCCACAGAGGGAAAACAGACTCCATCATCCGTTACATGGATCTGCCTAATATTTTAGTGAGTTTTACCAAGTCTCAGAACCAAAGACTCACAGAAGATCACAAATCAAGGGAACTTTGGACAAGCGCTCCTCCAACTTCCAAATGCACACAAATCACCTGGAGATCTTATTAAAATGCAGATTCTGATTCTGCAAGTCTTGGGTGTGGCCTGAGATTGTGCCTTTCTAACAAGCTCCCAGGTAATGCTGATGCTGCTGGTCCACAGATTTTACTTTGAGCAGCAAGGCTTTAGAATATAACAGAGTGCCTGTCATTCACTGAGCCCTACTTTGCACAAGGCATTGTGATAAATATACATATTTTTTCCTCTTTAGGATCTCAAGTGTACAGAATTGCACTTGATAAGTGCAATCATGCACTGAAAGCACGGTAACCATTTGGCATCCATGATCTTATTGAATCCTCACATCAGCTCCATGAGCTAGATACTATTATTGTCCACATTTTATGGACGTGTTAACTGGACCCAGAGACTGAGGTCACACAGCAAGATATCAATCTTCTTCCTCACCTTTTCTGAAGCCATGTTCCCTCCATTTACCCACACATAATGTACATCTAGTTCAATCTCAGTGTGGGGCAGTGGGAAATGAGGGCATTTGGGATCAGATGGACCTAGGTTCAAATTCTAGTTCTCCCACTTCTTAATTGTGTCTTAACCTCTGAGCCTCTGTTTCCTCCCTATGTGATGAGGATAATAATAGAGCCTAGCTCACAGGGATGCTTTGAGGACTAAATGGAACAATAACTCTACAATCCCTGGTGCAGCACCTAACATGTGCTCAGCAAACAGTAACTCTTTTCTTTGGCCCTAGCTTCTCTGTCATGGGACTGAGGAAACAGACCAAATAACCTTCCCCCATCCCCCCAAGGAGCTAATTTTTTCACAAATCCTAGAGCTTTGTTCCCTCATCCCAGAACTGACCTTTGTGCTTGATCAGGGGCAGCCTGGAGGTCCCTGGTATGTCAGTTCAAGTAGAATGGTCAGCAAAAAGCTGACACAGATGAGGCACCTCCACTCACACATGATGCCGCCTTTGGCCTGGGTCTGTTGTTTGCGTCCAGAAGGTCTGAGCCCGATCTCCAAACTCTTGCTCTTTTAAACCTCGAGGTATCCCTTCTCTTGAGAGGGAGGGACTATCCTTAAGGGTGGAGAAGGCTCTGAATGTGGCATTGAGGCCCACACAAGCCAAGGTTGTCCAAGAGCTGGGGGTGGCATCTTGCCTGGAGAGGGGCCAGTTCCATGCCTCCCGTTTTCCCCTCATCCAGCTGTAAAATGAATGGAAACCAAACATACTAGAGTGCTGGGTCTGTCTGTTTGCTATGTTGGCTCAGGGTGGGGCTTTTCTTTCCTATAAACATCCACAGGAGCCCAGTAACTGAAGCCAAAGAAAGGTCACTTAGCATTGATCATCTTAAAGAGGTAGCAGATATGAGAGAGGGGTTGGTGGGACAAGGGCCCAATCCTGGTCCTTTCTGGCACTGACTTTTTAGCCTTGAGACAGGAGAGACTTACTTAGGGTTCCAGAACAAATTAGGAGTCCCACAGATATGAGACAATCTCCAGAATAGTCAGAGGCCAAGACAGGCTAGGGCAGGACTGAAAATATAACATAGCGGTTCAAAATAGAACTACTGGATTCAGACCATCTGGGTTTGAATCTCAGCTCTGCCACTTACTGACAGTGTAATATCGAGCAAGTTAATTAATCACTCTGTAGCCTCAGTTTCCTCATCTATAAAATGAATAATAATAGTACCTGCTTCATAAAGTTGCTATGAAGATTGAGTGAGGTTCTACTTTTGGAATGCTTGGCATATGGTAAGAATTCAGGAAATATCAGCTGCTAGAACCAGAGCGGGATGAGGCCTGACTGAGATCAAAAGTATGGGAAGCTTCCTGTCCCTCCAAAGACCTGTGTGGGAGGGCTGGGGAGATGCCAAGTTGATGGTTGTCATTCTGTCTGTGGGAACCCGCAGATGCTCTGGACTGTGTCTGCAGGTACTGTGGAGGGCGAGAGTGAGGAGTGGAGCTGAGAAAAAGGAAATTACTTGAAGGTCTGCTCATGGGATATCGGCATCACTCAGAACCCCTATCTCTCTGCCCTTTCCACCCACATAGAGCACATGCAGCTCCAGCACTTACCTTTAGGCAAAATCTCTACCGGTGTTTTACGAACTGTGTAGGGAACACTTAGACTTGTCTTATGGCATTTGGTACTACAGAAAAAAGCTTTCTGATTTCAGTATTTGGGCAACCCATAGCCTGTTGGTTGCCACCTCCCCCAAGTCCACATGAAGTTTCCTGTCAGAATTTCCTTATGGAGGAGAGCCCTAGCTAGAAAATAGCCCTGCTTATATAACAACAGAGAAACCCACATCAGATACCAGTCCTTTTCCCTTCACTAAGAATGGATAACCAAAGATCCTCAAGCAAATTAAGGGAAACTGCATCATGAAAGAGAAAACCTAAAATAAACAAATGGAACAATGACACCAGAGCAATCTGGAAAATTTGGAAACAAAAGAGAATTTCAGAAAAAAATGGTAATATTCTCAGCAAAATTCAAGAAGATGTAACATGAGTAAAACAAGACCTAGATGACACAAAACAGGAACAATCAGAAGAAATAGGGACTCCTTAGAAATGGAAAAATAGGTGGCTGAAATTAAAAAAAACTCAACAGAAGGACTGGGAAATAAAATTGAGGAAATTTCCCAGAATGTAGGGCAAAAAAACCCCAAAGAAACACAAAGTATGAGAGAAAATTTAAGAGAGAGAGATTAATCCAGAACGTTCAATAGCTGCATAATAGGAGTCCTAGACAGAAAGAACAGAAAAAAAATGAAGAAAAATTTATCAAAAACGTATTAGAAGTTAATTTTCCAAAGCTGAAGAAGGATGCCCAGAACAGTGAACCCAGGAAACAGTGAATCCAACTCAAGTGATTACTGCAGCAGCCTCCTCACTGTTCTCCTGCTTCCCCCTTTATCATCTACACCTCATCCCCCACCAATATATTTTCACGATGGCCAGAGGGATCCTTTTAAAACCAAGTCAGATCCTCTCCCACCTCTGTTCAAAACCCTCCTGTGGATCCCACTGTGGCTTACAGGGCCCTATAAGATTAGGCCTCTATTACCTATCTGACCTCATTTCCTATTACTTCCCTCCCCACCTTCCTCTACCAGTCTAGCAACACTGACCTTCAAAAATGGCAGGCATGAGGGCTGGCCTGGTGGTGCAGCAGTTAAGTTCACTCGGTCTGCTTTGGCGGCCCGGGGTTAACTGGTCCGGATCCCGGTGCGGACATACACATGGCTTGGCAAGCCATGCTGTGGCAGGCATCCCATATATAAAGTGGAGGAAGATGGGTACGGATGTTAGCTCAGGGCCAGTCTTCCTCAGCAAAAAGAGGAGGACTGGCAGCAGATGTTAGCTCAGAGCTAATCTTCCTCAAAAAAAAAAAAAAAAAAAAAAGCAGGCATGAGAAGAAAAATGCCAGGCACGGTCCTACTCCAGAGGCTTTGCACTGATTGTTCTTTCTGTTTGAAATGTTCTTTCCCCAGGTATCCACTTGGGTAGCTGGTTTCCTCATCTATGGGAAATTTGCTTTGGTTTAACAAAATTTAGTTACTTTGGTTGTGGAAAGATAGCCCTCAGGGCTTAGAGTGGTACAAAATGAATTAAATTGCCCTGTAAATAAGAGGAAGAAAAAATCGTATTCCACTAGCAGCTCAAGAGAGAGGATATAGGATAGGAACCTGGAAATGGAAAGGAGAGGAGCTGCCCCCTCTGTATGTTGGGGGACAGAAAGGGCCCAACAGCGGTGGGGAGTAGGGCCCCGGATAAGGCTTTTCCCAGTGGTGAGAATGGCTGTGGAAGCGTGAAGAACAGGAACGTCTGATGTCCAATTTTAAGTTGTTTGCTATGCTGTGCTGTACGACTTAGACGGCTAAAGAGGTGATAGGTGGCTTTGGAAGGAAACCTTTGCCACCTACTCTCAGCCTTACCTCTGAATTTTCCAAATTCTGAAAATTTTGGAAATTTTGTAAAATTCAGAGGTACTGATTTTGTATAGTTTAGGGGAAGGGAAATGTGCTAGGACAAAATTGGTGGTGGGGATATTCTGGGCTTCCCATTTAAGCTTCAGGGGTCTGAAATCTTGGATGTTCTGGGATTAGGCAGTTTTATCCCCTGACCTTCTGCACTAAAAGCAATCTTTAGTGCTTTCTGCCTTTCCTCATCTCCTGAACAGATATGCCTGATGATAACTCAGCTTTTCATCTTTACCCTTAGTTGATATGCAGGATCTACATGATCTCAGGTATTTACCTGCTGATCTACAGATGATGGAAACTGGTCTGGGACCCAGTGACCTAGGTTCTTCAGAGTTTATGGGTAGATGTTAAAGAACAAAAGATTCCAAGAGTTCACAAGAAGAAGGTGAGAGGAAATCTGTCTGGTCAAAGGGTGAAGATTGTGAACGAATTTGTCTTTTCTTTCCTGATAAGGTTTTCTCTTGTCCTCTGATCCCCAGGTCTTATGAAAGGGTGGTTATGGTATTGTGTTATGAAGGTGGTGGTATTGAGAGGGGACTGGGGAAGTTGGGCTTTGAAAATCTTTGGGAATGCCTCTGATGGATTTGGAATGAGATTTTTCCCTAGTCCCTTGAATCTCCTATGGTTCCGACCCTGTATTCCTTTAAAGTTACTCCAGGATCCCAAAGGCCACAAATTGGACTTAAAACGTTGTAGAATTGAAAACGGTTGAGGTTGTAACAGAGGGTGTTCCATGGGGGAGAAATTGTATGAGCCAAGGCCCCTAAGCAGGAGAAAGCAGGGCACATCTGGTAATAGCGAAGTGTTTTGTTTGGTTGGAATACAGAAAGTGCTCAGAAAAATAGCAAGAAAAAGGCTGGAAAAGTAATTAGAGCTAAATTTTGGGAGAGCCTCGAAATCAGGCTCAGGCGTTTCTTGAAAGAGTAGTCATTGTCATGTAATCATGTCATGAATACCTCACCTGCCACTCACATCTCATCTCGCTACAATCTTGAAACTGCTGCATGGCATAGACTTCCAAATAACAGTGGCTTAAATAAGACATACATGTATTTATTTCACTTAAAAGAAATCCGGAGGTATGCAGTCCAAAGTTGCTATCGTGGCACTATGACATTCTTAGAGATCCAAGTTCTTTTTAGTTTACTGCTCCACTATCCTTAGGGTGTGACCCTTGTCCTTATGACCTTTATTCCAGGAGGCTATGTGTCCAGCTAAAAATCAGATGGTCTATTACTAAGGAAGAAGAAGAGAATGGATATCGGTATAAGCAATTAGTAATCTATGCCACAAATGTCTATACTGAAATTATTCCCTCTGAGGTCACCAGGGACCAGACCACTACCTGATTATTAAAATCCCTAGACATTTTTTCAGGCCTTTTATTGACCTCTTGGTAGCATTCAACACTATTGACCCCTCCCTCCTCTTGAAACATTCTCTTCCCTTTGTTTTGTGACACTACTTTCTCTCGCTTTTCTCCCTGTCTCCTTGGTCACTACTTATTCGTCTCTCTCATGGTCTCCTTTTCTTCCACCTATACCCATAGTCACTGGTCTCCAGGGTCCTTCCCTGGGCCTCGTCTCTTCTAAGACTTGACCTTCCTCCCAGGTGCTCTTGCCCCTTCCCATGGATTGAAGAACCATTCACACACTGATGACTCCTAGATCTATAACCCCAGCCCAGACTTCCTTCCTGAGCTTCAGATGTGTATATCCAAATGCCTGTGAGACATTTCCATTTGGATGTCCAACAAGTACCTCAAAATTGATGCTCAGTTCCCCTCCGTTAGTATTCCATATCTCAGTGAAAGGGGTTACCATCTACATATTTGATCTCTCAAATCAGATCCCCAAGAGTTTCCTTTGACACTTTCCTCCTCCTCACCCCTTCCCCACATCCAATTATTCATAAAGTCTTGTTGCTTTTTATTTCTTTAATATCTTCTGAATTCAGTCACTTCTCACCATCTCCACTGCTCCCTCTCTAGACTAAACCACAATCATTGCTTTCCTGGATGACTACTCTGTCTGCAGGAAGACATCTATTCCATACTCCTTATGGATTAGGCAGCCAGGGCGTTCTTTCTAAAACACAAATGTATGTTGTATCCAACCATAGAACCCTTCAATAACTTCTCAGTTCTCTCAGGATCAAGACCAAAGTCCTTATCTTGGCATTCAAGGCGTGCCATGATTTGGAAGGGATGGGAATTTGGGGCGCTAGAAGTAGAAGAAAAGGAGAGGCTGTGTTTAGCATGAAATAGAGCCCTACAGATGGGAGAGAGAACCTAGGAGGCAAGAAAGTGTTGAGCTGATATCACAAACTTAGAGGAAGCAACAGTTCAGACAAAGAGAGGAGTCAGGAGAACAGAAACCCACTTTGAATATCTACGAAGTGTGTGTAATGTGTGTGTGTGTGTGTGTGTGTGTGTGTGTGCATTGAGTTATCTATAGACCATACGGATTCATGATATTTTATTTGCTCAGTAAAGGAAAAGGTGACCTCATAAAGCAGAAGACTTATGACCACTTGAATTACTTTTGGATGTAGGAAAGGTATTGAATATAATTTCTGTAACTGACCACTGTACTGAATTTTATTATGGTTTCTAATAATTTTTACTTGATGCTCTTGGGTTGTCCAAGTCTACATTAATATACTCTGTAATTAATGATAATTTTGTCTACTTTCCATTATTTATACATCTTATTTTGTTTTCTTTAATAGACCCAATTACTTATGTGAATTTATTATGATAAAAGTGACATTTCAAATCAGTGGGGGAAAAGATGGATTAACTTGCACATGGTGTAAGGATAAGAGACTACGATTTTGGAAAATAATTAAGCTGAATCCTTATACAAAAGAAATTTTGGAATGATCAAACATTTAAATGTAAATGATAAAGCCATAAAAGTGCTTAGAAAAAAGCCAGGGATTGTTATAGCATAGTAATGTGGAAAGCATCGCTAAGCATGAGGCGGAATCCAGTCATGATAAAGGCAAACCTGATACATTTAGCTACATAATAATGAAATCCTTTTGTATAGCAAAGATTATAATAAATAACGTGAAAAATATTTGTAATATATGCCACACAAACGTTTGAGATGCATTGTTGGTGGGAATGTTATTCCATATACCTTTTGAGAGTAAGCTGACAAATTTTGTATCAAAACGGAAGGCTTTTTTGTAGCATTTGAGTCAGCAAAAAAGACAACAAATAACAACAACAACAAAAAGCCCAATACAGATACAAGGATGCTCCTTGTAATATTGTTTGGACACTAATAGTAAAAAAAAAATGGAAACAATGCTAAATATCCATGTATCCTGGACTGGTTAAATAAATTATGGGACATCTACACAAGAAAAGACAATGCAGCTGTTCAGAAAAATATGCACTATGGAAAGCTGTTTAGATTATATAACTGGACCAGGTTGCAGAACAGTAGGTATAGTGTACCATTGGTGGGGAGAAAACCCGAATAATCAGTTTATGAATACAAAAAATTCTGGAGGAATGTATGTCAAAATGTTAATAGTGGTTATTTCTGGGGGATGAGATAAGGGTGGCCTTTCATTGGTATGTTACATATTTCTGCATTATTTGAATTTTCACAACACATTACCTTTGTAATACGAAAAAATAAAGATATAAAAATAAATAAATTCAATGAATAAATCGCTTTGAGGGGGTGGTTTTGGTTGGAAGGGCTTCAGACCGAGTCTGGTACAGTGGCATAAACACGGACTTTGGCGTCAGACGGCCCTGAGCGGGGCCCCATTGCCCCACCCCCAAGGAAGGAGGAGGGGTGGCAGGGGGCTGCGGAAAGGGGATGGGCTGGGCTGGGCTGGCTGCAGCTCTAGTCCAGGAGGCTGAGACTTCCAGAGGGACTGAGAGAGGGCAGACGCAGCCCGGACTCACTCGAGAAGAAGGTGAGGGGCGTTAAGATTGGGGCTTCCTCGCAGCCAGATAGTGGTTCCAGCCCCCTCGAACCTATAGCCAGGCAAGGGGGCAATTCTTACTGCACCACTGCAGCTGAGGGAGAGGTGACCTGGAGTGGGATGTAGGCAAGGAGGACGACTTAGAGTACTGGGGAGCAGAGACTAGTGGAGGAGGAGGGGGGGAAAAATGGGCAACCGGGCATGTTGGGTGGCAGACGAGGAATATGAGGGGG